CATCCTGTCAATGAGTATTGTAAGATCAAGAGTTGATGACCGTTACCAATCCACCCCTTTAAGTTCGACGGGTCGGGAAATCGGACGATGTGTTTATCCGAAGATAGTACCTGATTTCGAGAATAATCTCACTAATCTAAAGACATCTGCTTCTATATGGTGCTAGAATCTAGACACCTTATAAAAAATTATAAATAGAAGCTAATACCTGCCGTAAGAAATATAATAAAAAATCAGATTGTAAAAATAAACGCCCAGATTATTATAAGTCCGATCTCTATATTATTATAAAATAATAAAACACTCCAGCAAACAGTAAGAACTAAAAATAAAATCAGACTATAACTAATAGAATATATATAATAGAAGTAATATTAATATAATAAAAAAGGCGCTAATAGTCTATACTATATCCCAACCGAAAAGAAATCTAACAGCAACAACCACGCCTAATAATATAGTAATTAATAAAAGTAAAGTATAATACTTATCTAATATCTAATTTTTACTAATTATTATATTTTTAAATTTAATCTTTTTCAGAGCTGAATAGTACTAACTGTTCCAAATTTCCGTTAGGAATAGAATATTTCTATTATACTTAGATTAGGATTTGTATTATTTAAAATAGTTTATAATTATTATTCTGTATTACTTACTGATAACTGTATAGAAGATATTCTTTTTTAAAAAAATTATTTAAAACAGTAAGATCCGGGTTGGAGAAGGTATATTTTATTAAATACAGTATATTTAAATATATAATATTCTGTCTAATAATAATATATATTTCTTCTGAGTATTCTTTAGTATTTTTAAAATATAATAAATAAAAAAAATATTTACAATCATAGCCGTATTCTACAGTTCCCGTGCGATGATTATAAAAGCAGTTTGATATAAAAATATAATTATTTATAGTCTGTTGTAATAGCTTTTTCTTAGCTGGAATGTTGTGTTTTATATATATTTTAATATATTTATAATTTTCTTAGTCTTTCGAAGTCTTCTTTAATCTTAGAAGCAAGATCTTAGTATAGTAATTAGTAATTCTTCTTAGAATAATAAAATTTAAAACAAATCTTAATAGCATTAATTTATATAATACTATATTCTAGCAGACGTTTTCTCTAATATTTTTTATATATATATCAAACTCTATATATCTCTTTCTATATTACTATATTATCTTTTAAGTTTGCAATTAGTATAGATAATATTAAATAATAAGAGCTTTCGCCCCAGTATAATAGAATTATAGAAGATCTATTTTTTAAAGATATTAAGTCTAATATTTTATTTAAAGCTTTTATCTGTATATTATATCTCTTCTCCAGAGTATTATATTTCTTCTTCCGGTTACTAAAAATAGATAGAGTTAATCTATATAAGCCTGCGTTGTCTTCTTTTTTATATTTTTTACAGTTATTATTATATTTATCGGCTCTAACAGTATCAGGGCGGTCTTTAAGTAAAATTAATTTCTGAATATAAATATAATTATTTTATAAAAATTTAGATCTGCGTCTGTAAAGAGTAGTATCTTTCGGAAGTAGAATTAGAACTAATCCGAATAGTATATTATTTATAATTAGTAAGAATAGTGAATCCTGGAAAAGAAAGGAAAAAAATCTAGTAAAGAATTATAGTCGAATATTAAAATATTGTTTCTATATAAAAAAAAGATCTGAGGTAAAGTCATATATTTGATTATTATTATTCGTAGTTTTTTATATTAATAATTTGATTTTTAGAAAAATCTGAATATAGTTTATATTTTTTAATAAGAGAAATTCGTAAGAATTTTAGATTAAATATAAATATTAAGAATTATCAGCCTTATTAAGCCTTAAGACTGTGTTACCAAAGATTATTCCGTTGCGATATTTGATTAATTCACGTATTTGTAATAATACAGTCATATTATAGCCTGCTTTAGACTCATTATATAATCAGGCTGGAGAATTATTATCGGCAACTCAACAGCTTTAATACAAACTAACTAACGTTACAGGCGCAGAAGGGGATGACATAATATTTCCCCATAGAATTCAACAGTTGGGGAGGTATAATAAGAGAAAATATCAGCTTTACATAGACCAAAGATAGATGACCATATTACAAAATGCAGGACTACTAATTACTGGCGTCTCCTTTTCTCTCTAAGATTATATAAAAGATATTAAATAAAACAGACTTAGAAATTCTATGGCCACCCTCCAGCTTAGCTTGTAGTTATATTAGAGGACTTAAACCAAAATATTAAGCTGTATTTAAAATAATTAAATAGATTCTATTAAAATCCTCTTTAAGATCTAAACTACAAACGGGCGGTCTTTAAAATTATAATAATAGTTTTAGCTGAAAGATCCTAAATTCTTCTTTTCTTTCTCACATATCGCGACTTTCTAAATAAAATCTATTTTATACTCTTCAACAGGCTCGTAGAAGTAGTTAATATCAAGCGCGCGAAGACTGTAAATACTGTGTTTTAAATAATCGCCGAGACCACCTTCAAAGCAGTCATCATAACAGACGAAGGCCTTACCGAACCTAATTAAAAAATCTGAAAAGTACTTATTAAAATATAAAAGCTTATATTAAAAATAATGAGATTGCTATAGTCGGCCTGTACTTCCCCAACTTCACGCCTATAGATAAGTTCAGAAGGTTCTTCGAGGCCTTTGGCCTTGCCTGGGAAAATAGCAATTATCATCGCACAACCTTCCAGCTTAATCCATCGGCTCTTTTGCCCGAAAGCATTGAGACAGCTTCATTGCCTAGGCCGTATACTGTACTGTCAAAATGCTGACTGGGGACAAAACTGAGCATGAGTCCTTCACAGTAGCTGGCTTAATTGTAGAGAATTCAAAAAAGACTGCAGACCACGTTCGTGGCTCTTCCACAGCGCACTTTCCTTATTTTTGTTCACACTATTGCATAACATCATCTGACGTTACTATATTCTCTGGTATACCCCGAACATTTGTGCAACCGACGCCATCAATCGCCGTGTTATATGCAGACTTCTTCCCAAACTCATGAGAATAGTAAAGGTACCATCGTGGATCGCTGCATGAACACACCAATTGACGGAAACTTTCCGGAGAGAACGGTCATAGAATCGTGCATTCTGGTGCTCCGCCTGCGCGTACTGATCCGCGACCCTCTGAGCTTCGCGTATATCGCATTCTGTGACTGGTAGACTGCACATCTTCTTCCATCTCCCGCGCTCGTAGGCTCGAAAGGTGATGGTCACTGTCTTGTCAGTATCGCCCGAAGAGGACCTTGGGCCAGCATCGCTTCCAATAAGAGAGGAAAACAAGGTTAGAGAAATCGCCCCATCTGTATCAAATACGAGGGCGTGCTCGTCTTCTCGGCTCTCAATCGGCTGTAATGGCCCCTCCTGACTGACTGGTCTTGAACTAGCTGTCGGAGCACACAGACGTCCCCTTGTGCATGTGTTCGGTTTCGCTTAGTCATCTACGTAGTAAGCTCTTTATCTTATTCCTAAATAGCTGGCTGGCCTACCAGCCACCCAATCAGACCGATATCCATCGCTACAACCAATAAATCACGTGCAGCAACACCACCGCCCGAGACGCTCAAAGCCGCTCCTGAAGTCTACTTTCTGTGTCTCACTCACGAATCCACCGACCGCACGTTGAGCAATGACTGATGTAAATGAAGCAAGTGCCACGGACTTTGCGAGAACGCATGTATCCCGCTAGACATTAACTTTACTATAGTAGTTGACCGTTCACTTATAGCATCCTTCCGATATATCACGGTCCTTGCGTCAAAATTCGGATCGATTGGCAACTGCCTTTAAGTATTGCGTTGCCTTCCAATCGATGTTGCTCTTCTGCAAATGATTGTTGTCGTACCTCATCCGACACATCGTTGTGAGATTCAATGTTTAGCTTTTTCTTTTTTATCAAACCAATAAGGTGTCTAAGATGGTGCGTCTTGCATTAGAAATGCTTCTTTCCCACGAGGTCCTGCCAGCAGTGCCCGTCATGATTATCACATGGTGGCCCAGGACATCGCAACGCATTATAGACAGGCTGCCAAGGTGAGTATTGACCCAAGATTTGCTCTGCATGAATCTGGGCATCCCTATCGGCAAGCATGGTCTTGGTCACTGAGATAGCACCGCGCTTTTCCCCACGCGAGGCTCATTTGTCTGCAAGGTAATGAACGCGGATATCAAGTTTGGTCTTCTTTCCCTTGCGTAACAGATTTGTCCACTGAAGGAGCTGCCTCTCTATAACAGTCAAACCAATATCAAGACCCGGGAAGTTTTGATGAAGATCATTGGCTGAACGGTCATTTATCGACATCATAATGGTAGTTTTATTTAACCTAGCCCTTCGGTACGAAATATTGATCGCCGCCTGACATACTGGACTTTGTTCTCGAACGTTTCTTGCCAATACGCACTAGGCGCTATGGCGATATCCGGTTCTGTGACCCTTATGGCTAGAGGGTGATTGAGCTCGACTTCCCGGTCGATCAGATAAGAACATTGCGCGGCATGGGATTTCTGAAAGTGATTTTCCGGACTGTTGTTGCCTATCTGGCATGTGGAGGGGCTAGACACGGAAGGCGTGGGTGTCCGACCGAAGTTGCCTGGAGTGGAGCGGGACAGAGCGGGGACCTTTCCCATGAATCGGAAGGTTGGAATTGCGAGGAACCATCTGGAGAGCGGGACCTTCAGCTCATTGCCTTCAAGTGGCTGCTGAGGAAACTAGAGTGACCTCGTATGTCAGTCTCACATTCGGTGCGTCTTTTTGCATAGGGAAAGGCTGCAGCCAAAAAGGCTGAGAAGAATAGTACACAAGGTCATTTGGGTTGCTCCGCTGAAATTCGTGCGTAACCCGCAATAGGCACCTTGTTGACAGGTGGAGAGGTAGGAACTGGAAAGTGGTGGCGCTTGCTATGGGCAGCAGAAGAGCCTCATGCAGGGGTTTGAGTAGTTTGCATGGAAGCTTCCAGGTTTAGACGGTCACATCGGTACGGAACGATGCAGATATGGTCTGTGTATCGAGGAGGGCGGAGACCTCGAGCGTGTCAGGGACCATGCCCATGCCCGACACACCCTGCTTCTGGAGCACGAGATGGCTGCTCGTCGGGTTACTGGGATCGGAGTATCCATGGCAAGCGAAGTGGACGATGTCCGAGTTGCCGAGCTGGGCAAGGACGTCTGCTGTGGAAGGCCCTGGCAGTTCTGTCACCCGTAACGAAGGCTCGGCTGCACGGATGATGCCTTGTGCCTCACGTCGAACACTCGCGAGCGCGCCATGACCCGGGGTCTCGGGCATCGTGACCACCAAAAGAGAGGAGGTCGCTTGTTGCAGGGGCAGGACCTGAGCCGCTCTCGAGCGGGCGTTCTTCAAGGCCCTCAGGCTAGGAATGTACGACGGAATCACTCGGTCGAGGCAACTCTGCCCGTCTGTGTGTCCCCCGTTTCGATAATCCCCCGCTGCGTGAAAGGGAAGCCCGCTGGCCGCACCGGCTCCGATCCACCACACACGGGACCGGGGTTCTTCCAACGAGAGCTCACCCTGCGCTCCCAATCCATCTAAGCACGGCTTGACGCAAGTGAACCATAACCACGATAACCACTCGTGGGTGAAATCCTCCGGTGATAACTCAGGCTCCATATCCCTTTTATTCGAATCTCCCGTGGTGCAACGGAAGTTTTCATGGCTCAAGAGACGCCGCACGAATTCTGGAGGCGCCTTAGACCCCATTTCGGGCAGATGAAGAACCCAGCCACGAGGAATGGTCATAATTATCGCATCGGTACTCACACACGTCGCGTTGACAATGATGATGGGTCCTTCTCGTAAAAGATCTCCAAGCACCTGCTTGGACAGTGTCTGAGGAAAGTCCTCGAAGCCTGTGATCTCACGAATCTTATCCTCGCACTCTCTGAGCTCTTTCAGATCATCGTATCGGTGGCTAGTTTGTGATGTGCTCTGATTTAAAGATGCTGTGATATGGTTGAACGTCCGCGAACGGAGAGCTTCATACTCTTCTGCCAAAGCTGGGTGAGTGCTCTTCAAGCTCGACAGGTCACTCGGCGAGTCGATCAAATGCCCTACAACAAATCCACGGGCATATTCAAGCTTTCTTACTGCATTGCCTACCAGATTTAACTTACAGAAGGCGACACATGCCTCACTCGCAAGGCCGGATATCTGCCGGTTGATAAAGATTTGATCTTCCCGCTGTAAGTCGTGAGCATTGAGACGACTCAGCGTGGGGAGGGCCAGCTCAGCAGCCATAGCAGCAAGGTTCCAATTCTCAGTATGATTGAGGAAATGTATCAGAGTCCTGGCAATTTGCACACGACTTATAGGTAGCACATCGGCTGAAACACAGACAGCCGCGAGATGTTTAGACCCGACTTGGAAGTCTGAACCGTTTCTCGTTTGGCGAAATCTTTGTAGAAGAAGTCTCCCATATTGGGCATAAACCCCAGGATCAAGCGAACCGCCGATAGTGGCCGAGTGAAGACCTTCATCATCAAGCAGAGTGATAGCTCGGTCAAGATGCTGGAGATTCTTCGTTGCGTAGTATAGATTTTCGTACAGGCCTGTTAAGAGAGTGAGATAAGCACTCCTAGCAGGCCGATCGACAAGATTCAAGCCATCGCGATTTATGTCTTCAAGCATTGCAATTCCTGACTCGAGTTTGCTTATGTCTCCTGTCGCCTCATGATGAAAGGCCAGGATATGACTGGCGCTTAACAACATGGCTACTTTCGCCGTGCTGAAAATGTTTGCAGGAAGGTTGCCGATAGCTATCCGGATATGAGAGTCTGCTGCATGAAGATCTGCAATGTTACGGTTTCTTTCCCACCTGGCGCTGAGAAGTCCACTCAAATTGAAATGTGCTGACAATCTTCCCAGAAGATCATGGGGCTCCATGAGGGCTACAGCCTTCTCAGCTCGTGAAATCCCGCGTTCAAGGTCGTCGGAATGTCCTGCCTGGAGGTACCGTTTCATATACTGCGTGGACAAACCCAGCAGCAGTGCTTTATAACTTCGATCGCTCTGTGAAAGGCCAGAAAGCGCTGCCTCGGCCGCTGAAATAGCTGTGTCAATGTGTTCTTGTTCGCCCAATTCATCGCGTTGAATGTCAGTCTTGGCGCTCAACAAGCCATCGCGGGCGCCACGGGCCTCTGCTGGAGCACGTTGATGCCGGGTCAAGAGATACTGCAACTCTTGCTGTTCGAATTGCTTATAGGAACCGTGTTCGGTCCCCACGTCGAGCCTTTCCATCAACTCATATGCGCGCCGAAGATCGGCTTCGGTGTTTGAATAGCTGATGCGCACCTTGTAGCCCACGATCAGTATCTCAAGCGTTTCCTTTTGCATTGCTTTGTCTGTAAGACCGATTTCCAGAGCACGTTCAAGGTGGTTGATGGCAATATCAATATCAGAGAAACTTCCTCCGAAACCCAATCTGGCAATGAGGCTTCTTCCATACATGTAAGAACATACAGGATCTTCGGGTTGTAGCAGAGTGGCCAGTTGAAGGTAAGCAATGGCTTTCCCTAAATCAGTCGGGTCTTTACTGTACTTGTAACGTTTAAATAAGAAGACACCCATTTTACCGAGGAGCCCTGGCCTCTCAGGGTGATTCATGGGCATTGTAGCCAGGCTCTTTTCGTATCTGGAAAACACCTGGCGCGCGTGGGGAGACTCTTGGAAATCCAATCCAGAGACATACTGCTGGAGCCTGGCAAGATCCAGCTTAGGAGCCTCGACACTGGGCAGTCCGATGCCAGGAAGAGAATCATCGTTCCGTGCTTGCGAACCTGAAGGTTCAACAACATTGAGTTGATCGATCGGAGGGCTCTGCACCGGCTGTGCAAAGTCTTGTACTCTCTATATATATGAAAGGTCAGGCAACAGTCGTCCTTTCCCCTAGTATCAACGTAGACCAGACGACTTACCTCCGTTGATATCAGAATCTCGACTTCTTTTACGACGTTCAGCCATCCACGAAACTATCGATGCATAAGTCTGGGGTGTCAGAGACAATTAGACGGAAAGGCGCGGAAATCGAACCTTTGCCCGTGCCCATACAACCAATCGATCGCCTTCTTCGAGGAGCGAGAGGAATTCGGCATTCTCTCCACCGTCCTCCAGTCGCCAAGTCACGGTGTGATTTTGCCACCCCGTCTGAATCTTGTTCTTGACGACGCACCTGGTCACGCCTGGAGATCTCATGTTATCCTCATCCTTCCGGCCGGGAATGTCCTTGAAATAGAACCCGCGATCCTGCAGCATTTGGCCAAAGTCGTGGGGAGAGGATTTGAGGTAGATAGGGTCGGACAGGTCCTCAAATGCTGGAGGCTGGTCTTCGTGCCACGAGCCTAAGATTGACGCATCGAACCAGGACCAGCTTCCATTGTCCGGGTCACTGCACCACCCCTGGTCATGACTGGTGATTTTGAACTGGACGGCAGAGATGCTGGGAGGCAAGGGAGCCGAGACGATGTACAGTGTGGTCCATTCATTCGAATCCGAGGAGTGCTCAGGCGGCGGTACTGTTATTTTATCTGCTCTTTGGCCGTGGGACTGCAATCCCGGATACTTCGAGGAGCACGCCATTCTAAGTGAGATCTGCGATATCGAAGAATGGAATGGGTTTAATGGTTGAATGCCTGAATGCTTTCAGAGCAAGGTAGTTCAAGGTATAGGGAAGGCAGGGGAAAAAACTCCTCTGGTGGTTGACGTCGCAGGTTCTATGATTATGGCGGGCAGCCTCGCTCAGACTCAGCGCTTTCTAGGCAACAATGGCAGGGATGTTCAGTAATCCGCCACCTTATTCAGCTCTGCCTGCAGATACATGGGGCTTGCAGAGTGGCTTAGCTTACATTCGGTTACTCACAGTGAAAATTCACAGTAGATGGCAAAAATCTATCCTAAAGCTATCGCCATGAAAGAATTCATTCACTATTTGTCTTTATCTTGCTTGTACTAAACTATCAGTGCTATTATCTGAACCGGGCCCTGAGTCAGCCACAGGCCTGGGCCTAAGAAGAAACCTGAGGTGCAGTACGGCCCAGCGAATATGGGGGATCTCCGCAGCACGTTGGACATCCCGCAGCGTAGGGCTCGTTTTCCTTGTTTCCAATGCCCGGAGATCAGCTTCATGGTCGGTGACTACAAGTACCAGATGCTCCTGGATAGGACTTTCGCGGCCGATCCCAGTAGGCCATGTCATTTTAAGGCCTCGGTTCTCGAGCCAATTACTTCCCAGCGTCGATTCTTGCCGGCTCGACATGGCTTTCCCACACGGCGTGGACCTTGTAAGCAGTGTGATTTTCCCAGCCACGTTAATCTCAAAGACCGCAACGTACAGACGCTCAGCCCCTAGGTTCTGCAGCCGAATCCGCAGGTAATCTTCCTCTTCGATACCCCTGGTCTGGACCGAGACTGCCGTCTGATCCATCTGGTTTTGCGTGGTGAGGCTAACCTGAAGCCGGTGTTGCAACTGCTCTTCTTGTACCTCACATCGAAGAGACAGAAGGTGCTGCGCCTTGACTATTTGCTCCGCTGCATCTACTACTGACTGGATCCCTTCGGACGTGTTTGCGAACTCGCATAGTTTGAGATTATTGCCTGCGAATAAAATGATAGAATCATCTTGTGTCACGCATCTCATGGCGAGTTGGGGCGGGCCCTCTTCATGGCCATCGCCATGTCTGTGGCCAGGCACATCTGCGCTTCGAACGAGCCCTGCAATGCGAGCCTGAACCGAGTTGTTATCATGTTGAAAGCCATCGGTATCAGCAACATTTGTGCGTTGGAAGGCCAGGGCTCCGTCCTGGGGGATCGAGCACCCGGGCCTGAGGTTCAGAGCCAGCAACGCCTGGAACCCACATAGATTGACGACTGTCGCGGTACCCAGGCATGCTGCCTCGTCGATGTATTCGTCTCCAAAGGGCTGGATTACGTAGACGTCTCCCCGACGAACGCCAAGGACTGAACCACCCGCCATGACCGGATGTCCTTCCTGCAATTTGACATGCAAAACGTTGACGGGGGTCATCTCCATCGAGAAAAGCCGCCGCTGGTCAGGCCCGTGCGATTGAGGCCGCTGATCAAACCGGCGCTGCACCACTTCGCGCACTTTCATAATAGTGGTCCGCCACGAGCGCCCGCGGTCGGACTGCTGGCGAATTTCTTTAATAAGGGCCTCGGTCATGGCACCTGCCCAGCTACTATCCTCCTTCTGGTATTCATATGCTTTCTGATCCACCTCCGCCGCGAAGATACGCACCGCATACGGATTATCGAGGCTGGTGAGGAGGTGAACTCCGCCATCCGGGTCGGGGGAGAAGATGTTTGGGAGGGAACGGACGTAGCTTGTCAGATCGAACGTCATCCGTGGCAGGCTCCTCACCACCGTGGTGACTGTGGAGTTGCCGGTAGAATGCTCTCGTGGGATCGGGGCACGGGTGATATGGGCGGAATGGCAGCAGTCGAAGATGGTGGTTACGTTCTTCGTCCGGTCAGTTGTCTGGCGCACCAGGTGCGTGATCTCAAAGTCGAGGATGCCGCGGAAATCCTCGACCGATCCTTCCTCATAATCCATCGGACACAAGGTCTGATAACATGCCGGAAGACCAGGCCCCCTGAAGCCCGATCCGTTGATCAAACCTCCATGTCCCGAATAATATATCACCACTGCATCTGCGGGTTGACACTCCTCAATAAGACGACCCCAGGCTTCGCGGATCCCCGTCTGGGTTGCCTCTGGACCACAGCAGCGGATTACCTGGAAATCTTGCTCCCGCAGAAGCTCTTCCATAGCGCTCACGTCATGTGTTGGGCCTTGCAGTCCTAGGGGACAGCCGATGAGCAATGCCTTTCTTTGTGGCATCGTAGATTCTAGTCCGTGCAAGGTACGGGCCAGACCCTGATTATACTCACGGGGTTAGGTAGGTCACGAAGATACGTGGAGAACACTCTTAGATCTAGGGCATAATCAGAAGAGAAGACGAGATGAAGAAATGTAAGATATACTGCAGTTGGGGGAGGAGAAGATGATGGTAGGAGTTACTTCAGGCATCATCGCGAGGTGCATGCATAAGCGCTGCGCCTCCGGGCCATCCTCAAACACTTCAGATGATTGGCCAGGTCACTGTTCGCTGGCCAATTATCGATGCATCCTATCAGGTATCTACTAGTGCTTACGTCTCTAGATAGACTTAGATTGCTACGGCGTGTGAAGGCTAAGTCTTGACCTTTGTACACGCATTCACGATGCCAGTCTATATTTCTGTTCAGTGAAACACCCAGGAACCCAGGATAGCCACAGCTTAACCTTCCTCTCGGACAAGGCTGGAAAGAAATATGTTGGAGCTTTTTTTTCTTTCTCTAAGCAAGGTTGGCGCTCGTTGCGCATATGTATTATATATACATCTCTACTTAACGCTGCCCCGCAAGCGAGAATATTAGACAGGTCGGGTAGGGATAGTCTCAACATCTGTACTGTACTCCACTAGGTCTCGAGTACAGACTGCTAAACGCGTCATTGAGCCACCACCAGATCAACTTTGCGTAACGTAGACCGTCAAGATAGCCGCGTATCTGCTCCACATAGTGTCAGTAATTCATGTAGCAAGTTTGACTAACAAGCCATGTCTCAAGAGAGTACGACTCACGCAGCAGCTGCAGCCAATATCTCAATGGTCTTGGCATGGGTGCCCCCTGATAGGAATGCAATAAATGCCGTTGTCGCCAAGCTGACTACGACGAGTCGTAACAGCACACTCAAAAGGAAATTGCAGATCAGGACAGGGACCATGATCAGAATCACGACGAAGGTTCCAAGCAATGCCCGGGCCAGAATAATAGCCAATATTCCATGGGGAATATACACCATTGGGTCATCGGACAGCGCCTGGCATTGATTCTGACTGATCTTTCAGCGCATGCCTCTTGATTCAGGAAACAACGATTAACATACTTTGTAAGATCGCGTGAAAAGGCTAATCAGTCTGTCCTCCACCCATTCTTCCAGACAGGCCAAGGTTTCATCTTTGGGTGATGAAAGAGCTATCAAGTCTCCGTCGTGTTGCAGAAAATCGGTCTCACTACGAGATACACATGCATTGCCCTCGATCCAGTTCCGTAGGGTGACGACTTGACGAGGCCCGGCATGCTTCAAGTCGGCGATTCGAGAATTTCTGAGTAGAGTTTGATCTTGAAAGGGGGGTTCAAATCAGGAATTGTGTGCCACAGCCTCAGTACAATAGCCGGATATACTTACCATAGTCGAACAAAGCCTTTGATATGTCAGACAGGACTGCTTGACGCTCATTATTGAGGTCGCGACGACAGCTGCCGAGATATGAGGGCTTCTCTTCCCTAAGATCAAGATCCTGGAGTCTTTTCTCTAGAATCGACAATCGATCTTGTTTCAACAAAAGGTCCCGCGACCGCAGGATGGAAAATCTCCGGTAGAGCTGCAACGAGTTGGTGGAACTAATCAATGCACAAAACCGCGGGTATCCGGCGGGAAAGTCTTCGACTGCGTAACGATTAGTAGTCTGGACCAGCTCGCTTGCTTGCTGCAGGTGGCTTACTTTTCTCGGATTTTAGATGAATATTTTGACTCTCTAGATCTCGTGGGGTTCTGATCTTCCTGGATAAAAATGTTCTACTGAGTACATTCATGTGCTTAGATTTCACTGCAGGTGGTCCAAATGAGATGGTATATAGATTCTGTTTCAAGAAACCATATACTGATTCCGAGTCTCGTTTCAATCCACAATTGCAAAAATAGGCAAGATGGCTATTTGTGACAAAGTAGAATGTGGCGATGCAGCTTCGTTGGGGTCTGAGCCTCGCGGCTGGCCCAGGATCTATGAGGCTACATTGGGCATTAATGCAGGACGAGCCAATATGATTGCAGGGATAACATCTGAAGGCAGTAAGGGCAGCACCTGGATCACGTTGTTCGTCGCCTTGCTCGGAATGTTTGCATTAGGTGCAGGTGAAGTGTCAAGAAATACTGTATGGCTCTAATACAACCTAAAAGCAGCCGTATTGTCCCAGTCCGCTGTAGACTGTTATAAATCCTCCTCGGTCACTTGATATGCCCCATCCGTCATTATCTTTTTCCCAACAACTTGCTTTGACATACAGATTCCAAGTTATGGATTTCGGCAAAGAGATTGAGTCGTTGAACAGGTGCGTACAAGACCAACGGGGTCCGATCTTGTGATGATGACATCTGATTTTGGTTAACCTAGTCGATAGGGAAGATGGCCCTGGCATATCACTCTCAATTGAAGAAGGACGAGCATTCGTGTCTTCTTACTCGAATGTAAGCTGCTTGTACGCACATGGCCAGAAACAATATCCTGCCAGTGTAATGACACAGTAAAACAGAAGCCTAAATTCGCAGTCTGGGATGAGGTATATATAGTTGTCCGTGACCGCGAAAGAATAATTTCGAAGGAAGGTCCATACTTTATCGAGAGTGTGATTCTTCCTAACCAGTATACTCTCTGCGATGAAAGCGGAAATTCTGTGAAAAATGGCACTAGAGTCCACGAAGGGGATCTCCAATGAGATGAATCATGATTAGCAGCTGAATAGGTTTTGTATCCTAGCTTCTATGTCCGGCTGTGAAAAAAATACTCTGGCTTCCTCTGTTTGGCATCTTCCCAAGTTTCTGAGTATCTGTCTTCTGGTCATATTGTGAGGTGTCAATTTAAGCTCTTTCAGTGAACTGGGCAAAACGTCGGCGCTTCGCATCGATTGATTCTGAGCTCCGTTCTAGGTCAAGAAGGAAGATTCTGAGTATACCAGCTGTTGCTCTGCTATCTGCTTCTGGAAGTTGTATTTAGTGATTAGGATATCTGAAGCTACTGAGAGAAGCGGACTATGCTTGTCTAACAGCACCGAAGACCTGGTTCCAGGTACCTACCTCTTTATAGGCAAGCTTTGTCCATGAATCTGGATAGAGCAAGACACTAATGACTCAGGCTCAGGCCATGCAATCATTGTAGCACCTCTCCTGTCTAACTTTTCGATTTTACGGCGTTCGTGGCAGGATTCAGCCGTAAGTGTTCCGCGCCTATGCTTCAAATGGCGGCTAGCGCTAAACATTAGCATTTCTAATCTTGTAGTACAAAGCGTAGGGGTTGTGAGAGGATAGACGGAAATACATATTATATAGCCTTAATATAGCTAAGCCTGCGAAGAATATAGAATTGGGCATAATCTCACGGTAGCTGATCTTAGCATTTGAATCATACCTCACAAGGTGATGCCATATCGTGGAAGCACTTGAGAGCACGAATGCAAACTGATAACACAAAGATTATAAGCCGTAACCCTGGAAAGGGGTCTCTATTGAGTTTCTTTGTTCACCTCAAGGGAGTGAGAATCCGGCAACGTCAATTGGCAGCAGTGGCAGTGGATTGGATACACTCGTGGTAGCAATAGTGCCATTGCCTTGGTTTGTTACTCAATATCAGAAGCTCATTTCTATATCGCTTACTGCAATCTACCAATGAGTTTTGACTTGAGCGTCAGTCAATATGATGCTCTTCACGACGAGGCACCTACGAGCTGCTTTGCTCTCTCTGCCCTAAGGGCTGCAAAGTAAGATTATGATTCTGAATTGATGCCAGTCGATTGACGGGTTATTTCACTAGAAGCATTCAAAATCTTTCTTCAGAAGCTGGCTGTCGGAGTTGGCTTTAGAATCTTATAAGGTGTCTTTGGTGGGTTCCTTTGATAGAGCGTCTAGTACGTAGTCGTAATAGCCCGGTCTTGGCTGCGGCAGGCTTACGGTTCACATACTCCAATAGGCACGCCACGTGATCGTCTCCGCCATCGGAGCCACTAATCCAAAAGCAGCAGGCAACCCCTCCGAATTTCTTCTTTGGGCGGGTGAATCATCGCCTCTTGTCTTCGCCCCCTCATCCTCGCTCACTCTCGCGCTCTTCATATTTTTCTGTTCTGTCGCTGGGATTCTTGTCAGAAGAGGCTCTGGCTCGCAATTGAGTGTCTTCTTTGTCCTATCTTCCTCCTTTCCCCCCCATCATATATCCAATCATCATGTCGCATACTCTGTCGCAAAAATATTTGAGCACGCGGGGTGCCTCCTACGGAGTATGGCAACAAATCCCTACAAACAACACTTTCCCGATTCAATGGCTAATCTGTCCTGAACTTGCGTTTAGCTCTCCTTCGAGGAGGTCGTCCTGAAGGGTCTGGCCTCTGATGGCGGTCTCTTCATCCCCGAGGAGATTCCCTCCCTCCCCTCTAACTGGGAGTCCGAATGGCGCAATCTGAGCTTCGAGGAAGTCGCCTTCCGTATCATGTCTCTCTACATCTCAGAGTCCGAAATCCCCCGCAACGACCTCGAAGACATCATCCGCCGCTCCTACGCCACCTTCCGTCACCCCGAACGTACTCCCACCATCGAACTCGACAGCAAGCAGAACCTCCACCTGCTCGAGCTCTTCCACGGCCCCACCTTCGCTTTTAAGGATGTCGCGCTTCAGTTCCTCGGTAACCTGTTCGAGTACTTCCTCGTGCGCAAAAACCAGGGCAAGGAGGGCAAGGACCGTCACCACCTGACTGTCGTGGGAGCCACCAGCGGTGACACCGGCTCCGCCGCCATCTACGGTCTGCGCGGCAAGAAGGACGTCTCCATCTTCATCATGTTCCCCAAGGGCAAGGTCTCCCCGATCCAGCAGGCCCAAATGACCACCGTGCTGGACGCCAACGTGCACAACCTCACTGTCGAGGGCTCCTTCGACGACTGCCAGGACTTCGTCAAGGCTCTGTTCGCCGACCCCGAGCTCAACTCTACCCACAACCTCGCGGCCGTGAACTCTATCAACTTCGCCCGCATCCTCGCCCAGATCTCCTACTACTTCTACTCCTACCTGTCCCTCACCAAGTCCCCTTCCTTCAACAAGGACTCCAAGCTGCGCTTCGTGGTCCCCTCCGGTAACTTCGGCGACATCCTTGCCGGCTGGTTCGCCAAGCGCATGGGTCTCCCCGCGGAGCGCCTGGTCATCGCGACCAACGAGAACGACATCCTGGACCGCTTCTTCCGCAGCAGCGGCGCCTACACCAAGAACGACGCCAACGGCACCGGTGTCAAGGAGACCCACAGCCCGGCCATGGACATCCTGGTCAGCAGCAACTTCGAGCGCCTCCTCTGGTTCCTCGCCTACCAGAGCAGCGACGCCGCCTCGGCCGACGCGCGCCGCAAGCAGGCTTGCGACAGCGTCCGCGGCTGGCTCCAGCAGCTCAAGACCGAGGGCGGCTTCCAGGTCTCGCCCGCCGTCTTCGCGGGCGCCCAGGCCGAGTTCGAGTCCGAGCGTGTCAGCAACGACGAGACCATCGCCCAGATCCGCGACACCTACCGCACCTCCTTCCCGGCCAACCTGGGCCCCGGCAGTGCTAAGAGCTCCAAGACCGGCGGCTACATCCTCGACCCCCACTCCGCCATCGGTGTCGCCGCCGCCCGCCGCTCCATCCAGCGCAACCCCGGCGCAGTCCACATCTCCCTGTCCACCGCTCACCCGGCCAAGTTCGCCAGCGCTGTCGACCTCGCCCTGCGCGCCGAGGACGGCTATGACTTCACCGAGGTCTTGCCCCAGGAGTTCATCGGCCTGGAGCAGCGCGAGAGCCGCGTCACCCCCGTCGGCCCCGGGGCCGGATGGGAGCAGGTCCGCGAGATCGTTAAGGCCGAGGTCGAGCAGGAGCTGGAGGGTAAGCGGTAGATGTTGCTTGCTTCTGTCGTAGACAACCAAAAAGAAAGAATTCCGCGTTTGCATCCTAAGACCATTTACTCCCATTATCATATTTCCCCCTTCCGCATCATCGATCCTATATACATACATGACGATTTCTGTTCTCAAGTAGGCTTTTTCTTGCCTCTACTGTGATATCATAAAAGCTACATCAAAACATACGACAAGAATTCTGCCTCAATTTTAGGCATCCTGCTCTTCGACTATTCCTTCCCTTGGGTACTTTTCGCATCATATAATGGGCGGGTGGGTAGGAGACTATCCATACATATATCATTAGATTATACACAGATAAGAATGATTTACTCTTCTACCTTAATTAATTCTGTGCTATCCTTCGCCTCAACATCTCTATAACTTTAGTTCTACTACTCCCTTTCTCCTAACATATATTCTAGACCGCTGCTAAAAGTAACAGTGCACCTAACTACCCAACTAGATAATCTAGTACTAATATCTGTTTTCTTCTCCTTGATAAATTCTTCTTCTCGTCTATATATACCCTACGTAGACTGCATATACATCTTATAATATCCAGTCACAGAATATTCCTCTTCACATCTACTTGAAACCATACTTAGCTGATACTTTAGTGACTATTCAAACCCTATCTCTATTCACAGCTACTTTATACTATACCCTACTAGGGAATAGTGCTACTTAATAGCAACCTTACTTACCATCTAATCCTATTGTTAGATCTCCTATCCTACAGTAGTTTACATACCTCTGCCCCTACTATTACCAGTAATAGAATTATACCTCCTCTCAGATCTACTATGATTAATATGACCCGTCCCCTTGATTAAACTGACTTCCTCCACTGTATCCTTCGAATTACTTGTCTTCTCTGTTCTCTTCCTCTTCCTCTTTCTTCCTCCTTCTCTCCAACCTTCTGATAGGTATACTCCTAACACCCTTTGTCTATTTCATACTTTTCTTCCTTTTTTCATTCTCCACCACTCTTCTACCTTTCCTTCGACCAATCTGATGCTAATATCACCTTCCACCCTTATTACTAAAGTAGAGGGTCGAATTACCCGGCCAGTGTTCCAGTCTTCACAGTAAACGTAACAGTCTCCTACTAAGGTAAGTATCGCCCTTCTATACATCTCCATCCCATCTCTATTCCTCGTGGCTATTTCTACACCAATCTCTTTGCTAAGAGTTATATAATATTTGACCAATACTCCATTACTTGATTTTCTTTCATACACAGTAGAACAGAGCCAGACTTGCAACAAGATACAATACTAGTTCCGGATAGGTGCAACTATTCCTCAAGAACCAGCTGGTTCCTGATAGTTCCAAGTCGATTGCCACCAGTTATAAATGGGTCCAGGAAAAACACCCATGTCAGGTAAAACTACAAATAGTGACGAGTATGTTGTACTATGTATCTCGGTGGGTAGTTTGCCCACAGCCCTAGCTTAATCCTTTGCCAATCCGAAACTAGGGCTAAGTCTTCAGACCTATCCTAGATATCACTTTGTTTTTTACAATCGTTGTCACGAGTTAGATCAGCTTGGGCCCTCATTCCCTTTTTCTAGATATGCCGTATCTCGACTAGCATCTGGAGAATATAGGGACGATGCGGATGGGTGGGCAGAGTTCTACTCCCTGCTACATACCCATACGAGTAATAGGATGAGGGGTAGTAACGGCATCACCACGTCAGGGATTGTCATGGGATCTATGGGACTCACGCATACTGCTTGAATATGCTGATCATTCCTTATCGTGGAATTTTGTCTACCTGATATCATTCATTGGGTTGCATTTGATTCTTCACCTACTCAGTACTCATATCTACTCGTAGGACCCACACACGATCTCCCCACACCCCTCTTGTCTCCGAGGTGGTTGTGCTGGGTTGGGTTAAGGACTACGTAAGATGCAACCCCTTCCGTTTCCGGGATACATGATTACGCACTCGCGGCATTGGCGATGTGACAAGTTTTTCCTATGAGAGTAGGATAGTAGGAAGACAAGAGAAAGAAATTGAGCAACCAAGAGATGCATCGAAGCTACATGAAAGAGAAAGTGCAGGCTTGAAAAGTGAATCCAAGAATCCACAAAAAAAAAAGAGAAATGCCATTTTTATTCCACGTACCGTACTCACTATATATTATTAAACTAGTAGGTAAAAAAGACTGCCGATGAATATCAACCAGGAGCTGAGCACAGTGTTTCTTGTCGCTCACCCCAGTGCGCCTGGCTGTGTCTTGAGTCGTAGTCCTGAATCATAATCATAGAACAGTCCTTCTTTCTTCATGACATAGGAAAGAAAACCAACGATGTAGCAAAAATTCAAAACCAAACTCCAAGCACCAATTATTTTGATTTAATAGTTTCTTCGTTTGGTCAGAGGGGAAGATGAGTGGCTCTATCAATCATTGCTGAAGATGGAGGTGTCATCTACAGAAGGGCCATCAGACCCATGACAGCGGCGAGAAGACCGGCCACGGGCTGCATCTTGGAAGCAGCGCCGGTAAGGCTCGAGACCGAAGGCTCCGCTGGGGAGGCGCCGGTGGGCTGCTCGGGGGTCGAGGTGCCGGCAGGAGCAACAGGGCTGGAACCCTCAGGAGCGGCAGGGCTGGCAGGGGTGGAGGCGCCAGGAGCACCAGAAGCGCCAGGGGCGGAGGCGCCAGCAGCACCAGAAGCGCCAGGGGCGGAGGCGCCAGCAGCACCAGAAGCGCCAGGGGCGGAGGCGCCAGCAGCACCAGAAGCACCAGGGGCGGAGGCGCCAGCAGCACCAGAAGCGCCAGGGGCGGAGGCGCCAGCAGCACCAGAAGCGCCAGGGGTAGAAGCGCCGGCAGCACCAGAAGCGCCAGGGGCGGAGGCGCCAGCAGCACCAGAAGCGCCAGGGGCGGAGGCGCCAGCAGCACCAGAAGCGCCAGGGGCGGAGGCGCCAGCAGCACCAGAAGCGCCAGGGGCGGAGGCGCCAGCAGCACCAGAAGCGCCAGGGGTAGAAGCGCCAGCAGCACCAGAAGCGCCAGGAGCACCAGCAGCACCAGGAGCGCCAGGAGCACCAGAAGCGCCGGGGGTAGAGGAGCCAGGAGCACCGGGAGCGCCGGGGGTAGAGGAGCCGGGAGCGCCAGGAGCGCCGGGGGTAGAGGAGCCGGGAGCGCCAGGAGCGCCAGGAGCACCTGGGCTAGATGAACCAGGTTGTCCGGGGGTGGAAGAGCCAGGAGTAGACGGAGTAGATTCGCCGGGCACGACAGGAACAACGGGCACAACGCCAGTGGGAGATCCAGGGACGGAAGGCACAGTAGTACCAGGAGCAACAGGCACCGGCTGGGTTCCGCTGGGGATGCTGGTGGTGTTCAGGAAAGGTCCGGGCTTGGTGGTAGGAACAGTGCCGTTGGCGGGGATGGTGTGACTGGGGAAAGGAGCTGGGGGAAGTCCAGTGCCAATGATAGGAGCAGTGCCGTGGCTGGTAGTCGGGTTGATGGGAGCAGTGCCGTGGCTGGTAGTCGGCCTGATGGGAGCAGTGCCGTGGCTGGTAGTCGGCCTGATGGGAGCAGTGCCGTGGCTAGTAGTCGGCCTGATGGGAGCAGTGCCGTGACTGCTAATTGGCTTAATGGGAGCAGTGCCGTGGCTGGTAGTCGGCCTGATCGGAGCAGTGCCGTGGCTGGTAGTCGGCTTGACAGGAAAGACAGTACCAGTAGGGTTGGGCTTAGGCTGGGGCTTCACGCCAGTGGGCACTGGCTCCTTGCCAGTGGGAACAATAGTCTTGCCCTCCTCCTCGCACCATGTGGTGGTCAGAGTAACGGTGTTTGTGAGAGTGATGGGCACCGTAAGAGTCTTGTTCCCAGAGACAACGACAGTGGTGGTTTCTGAAAGCTATATTAGACACGGCCTGCTTGAGAAAATACACGAGAGCAAAACGAACCCGGGGTCTCAGTGGTCACATAGGTAGTAGTCTTGGTGATGGTACGGGGAGGGTCTGTGGTGAGAACAAGCTTCTTGGTAGTGGCTGGCTTCTTCTCGTCGGGCTGGAGGCTTCTTAGCATGTCAATCAGAATGGGTACGCGTTTGCATTAAGCTTACCTCTCCGCCACGCCCTTGAATGACACCCGCAAGGGCTGGGGCAGCCAAAGCCAGGAGTGCAATAGTTCCCTTGACCATTTCGGAGGTTTGGGGGGTTTTTTTTTTTTTTTCCTGATGCAAAATGCTCAAACAACACAGCTTTTAGTGTAAACGAGAGATGAAGAAGGAACAGCGAGTGGCTTCCGTACGGCACGAGGTGGATTAGAGAAGGAAGAAACGATCCGATGAAGCAGAATATCTCGACCTTTAAATCTTCTCGACGAAGGGCCTGATGATTATGCACACGATATTCGTCACTGACGAGGATAATGCCACAGTAGTATCCTTTGGTTAGCGAAGCACGGGGCAATTGTTGTATGGTTCAGGAGCAGAAGTAAAGCTCATCGATGCTAGCTCTGGTAGGCTACGAGACGCAGATTGAGGCTAACCAAGCCATGGATGCGAAAGGGACCACCGATGTGATGCTGTGAGTCAAGCCAAAGGGTCTCTCATATGGCGAGCTGTTGCGCGAATGTAACGTCTTGCTACATCTTCTTGGACAGAGGCCCACAGTACCCACGTCAGTCAGCCACGATCCTCGGACACGATGCTAGATGGTTGTACTTAGATAGGAAGTCAAGAGTAGTATTGTCGTCATGACTTTGCGCGAGTGCTCTGGTTTTCGAATTGAGAAGCTGGAAACCCCTGGCTATCGCCGTGATCTATGCTAGTGCAAGCCAAACTAATCAAGCAAAGCGGAGACAAGCCTGCTGAGAAGGGAAGTGCTACCGGAATTTTGCGTTCCATTACGGAGTATTGAGCCCTGAAAAGCTGAGTTAAGCTTGTAGAAATGCATGGATTGGCTCGCAAGGCTCTGTAGCTGACACATTCGAAAAAGCTTTGCAGGAATGTGGGGTCGCTCGAGGTCCGCCTTCTGTAACGTTGCAGGTAAGTTTGTCGGGTCAAGGATCAGGGCAGGGACAGAAAGCAAGAAAGGGAATATAGCACGGGCAGTACAGGCATATGCTCACGAAGCACATTAGGTAGCTGATTTGAGCATTCTATCTGGACAATGTAGTCCATATGGCCTTATGACGAGATCCAGGTCATGTCATCATTGAGGAATGTCAATCGAAACCGAGATAGGTCGCTGTCACACAGTCGAATAGGCTATGTAAGAAAACTTCAAGGCCCATTGAGGTTCGAAGGATCTGGCGCCGTACTGTGGAGCGGCCGTTTTCGAAGTTGGTGAGAGAGTCATTGAGATGAGAAGCCGGTAATGTTTCATTGGAGTGAGTGGATAACGTGTCGCAACCTAGGTAGTCGCTATGAGAGCAATGTAAGACGTCATTAAAGCAAAATCTGGTAAGCCTTTTGACAGGAACCATGCCCGCAAGCGGCGCTAGCAGATGGCGAGTGTTCCTGCAGGGGTGGTACCAGACAGAACTTGGCAAACGTGATTGTGAAGCTCTGCAGGAGCGAACCTTAGTATACTTCGTATTTCGTAGTTACTTGGTCGCTTTCTCGGTGGGTCGGCGGTACCTTGCTGACTCATCACCGTTTGCAGCAATGTATCACGTGGAGATTAGCTCTGCTCAACTCAGCTATCGTATCAGGGCTTAGGGCAAGCGGCGCGTGGGCACGCGTCTTGGAGCGCGTTAATGGTTTTGCTGTGCTGCGGTAGCTGAGAGATAGATGCAGTGATCTCCGATTGTTGTCCTGTCCAACAACAAGACAATCCACAACATCACCCCTATGATGCCTCACTCAGTATCCTCGCAAGACTCGTCAGCCGATCGCAAAGATGAAGAAGTTCTACCAGACGCTCCGCCAGCGGAGATCACCTCCGAAGACAAGACCGATACACCCGACAATGCAGCAGCAGGCGTAAGATTGGAAGACCTGTTTAACGACGACGATGACGATGAAGAATACCCAGCTTCTAGCGCGCCAGCCACTCAGAATCAGGACACAATGCAGACAGAGTAGGTTTCGCACAGACTACCAAGGCATACCGGTACTGATAGAGGTTACTCGTTCAGCGCCGTCCCTGCTCCAGGTCCAGAGGTAGACACAGACACCATGCTCGCATTCTACCAACGCCTCTTCCCGTTCCGCTACCTATTCCAATGGCTCAATCACGGAATTGTTCCTTCGCCCGATTTCGGCAATCGCGAATTCGCCCTCACACTCCAGAACGATGCTTACCTTCGATACCAATCATATGCAACGGCAGATCTGTGAGTGCTGCGGGATTGGTGCACAAGTGCGTTATCAGAAATCTGTTCTAACGGGTAGACAGCTTCCGCAAAGATATCATTCGGATGAACCCGTCTCGATTCGAAATCGGACCTGTCTACAACACCAACCCACGAGATCGCAAGACGCTCCGCGGCGGCCAGTTGAAGCCCATCTCCAAGGAACTCGTCTTCGATATCGATTTGACGGACTACGATGACATCCGCTCCTGCTGTACGAAGGCCAACATCTGCGGCAAATGCTGGGCATTTGTGACTATGGCCATCAAGGTCGTCGACACGGCCCTCCGCGACGACTTCGGCTTCGAACACATCCTCTGGGTATACTCCGGCCGCCGTGGTGCGCACGCCTGGGTGTGCGACCCCCGCGCGCGCAGCCTCCCGGATGACCGACGCCGGGCCATCGCCGGGTACCTGGACGTGGTGCGGGGCGGCAACAGCAGCGGCAAGCGGGTGAACCTGAAGCGACCGCTGCACCCGCACATGGCGCGCAGCCTCGACATCCTGAAATCCCACTTCGCGCAGACGACGCTGGTCGACCAGGACACCTTCCTCGGCCCCGAGCAGGCGCAGCGCCTGCTGGCTCTCCTGCCGGACAAAGGGCTCAACGAGTCGCTGCGCAAGAAGTGGGAGTCCTCGCCCGACCGCACCAGCGCCAAGAAGTGGGCCGACATCGACGCCCTCGCCAAGACGGGGAAGAGCAGCACCCTGAACCCGACCACGCTCCGCGACGCCAAGCAAGACATCGTGCTGGAGTACACCTACCCCCGGCTGGATTCCGAGGTCAGCAAGAAGATGATCCACTTGCTCAAGAGCCCGTTCGTCATCCACCCGGGCACCGGCCGCGTGTGTGTCCCCATCGACGCCCGCAAGGCAGAGCAGTTTGACCCCCTCTCGGTGCCGACGGTAACGCAGCTGCTCGCCGAGATCGATGCGTGGGATGCGGAGCATTCGAGCACCAATGCCGGACCGGAGGCGGCCGAGGGCGAGGGTAGTGTCGCGGACTCGGACGCGAAGGGAAGCCGCAGGGTACAGGACTATGAGAAGACGAGCCTGAAACCATACATCGACTACTTCCGCTCCTTCATCGCCGGTCTTCTCAAGGAAGAGCGTGGTGGCAAACGGGAGCGGAATGAGGACGTTGAGGAGACAAAGCCTGAGAGTATGGAGTTCTAGGCTTCTGAGTTTCGCTTTCTAGGTGAATGGCGGTCTTTATGGTTTTAATTCTCTCAAGCCCTAGCCTGGGTAGCATTATTTTTGGGTATGATCTTGGAGCGATTTGGGAGTATGTCCTTTGAAAGTGAATATTTCAGGCGTTCGAAGAAGGGTCACAGGGCCTTTCCCCTGTGTTCTGTGTTAATATTGTGATGGTTCTTACTTTTCTGTTCATTTCTGACTGCAGACTGAGCTCAATAAGCGGTTATGGGAATTAATATGAATCAACATGAGCCATGTTTCCAGTCAAAATTACATTTTTTTGAAATTCAATTCTATGTTGTTACATTGTAGGACTGTCAGACGAACAGCACTACCTCATTATTGACCATAAAGCCTGCTTTGGAGAAGACAGGAGTGACAGATGATATAGTTGTGAAACTCAAAACGCATCATTCAGTAGCATGCTGTGCAGGAATCGGGAAGAAGAACGTCCGCGTCCGCCTGGATTTAAGCAGAAACGAAGTTCTTGACATCTGGACAGAGGTTTAGCAAATGCTTACAGGGAAGGGGTATTGGTGGGTCACGTACTCTCAAGCCAGCGGACGTACTCCTTCTGCTCCTTGACCTGGATGTAGTCGGGGATCATGGTGGCAAGCTCGGCGTTGATGCCTCTCACGTCAAGGTAGCGGTCAATGAAGTTCTGGAGCTCCTCGTCGAGGTTCTCGAAAGGAGGACCGGCGTACAGGCTCTGTCTGGCCCAGTCCTTCTCGGCGGTCTGGGCAAGAGCCAGATCGGGCTTGTTGAAGTAGGAAACCTCCTCAACCTGGAACACGCCATCGGTGCACATGGTCTGGATCAGAAGAGCGCCGCTGCCGGGCTTCTCAATGGTGATATTGACACGAGCGGGGAAACCGGGCTCAAGGTCGTCGATGTCGATCTCGTCGCGGTCGGAGGGAGCGATACGGTCCTCGGGAAGCTGGGAGATGCCTGCGCGACCTTGGTTAGCAGGCTGGTGGCTTCCGAAGTCGTTGGCGTCCATCAGACCATCAGCGGAGAAATCCTCCTGCTCGCTCAGGTTTTGGAGGTCTGCAACGGTGAAAGTAAGGCGGATCCTATAGAGAAGTACACACGATCAGAATGATAATTAAGGAGGGCAACGCGGGCACAAGGTTCCTTACTCTTCCTTGCCGAACTTCTTGGTCAAAGTGACTTCCTGCTCGCCGGGGATATCCTTGACCTAGTAAAAACCATATGTGTGAGCTAATACAGTCAAAACAACGATTGTCCGACGGAACTTACCTCCCAAGAGTTGTTTTGCAGAACATACTGGATGTTCTGAACGGAGCCATCCAGGTCCTCAAGGCCGGAGGCCTTCTCGTGCTTGAGCTCGTCCTCAAGCTTGGCAACAAGCTCGACGTCACCTATAATGCTCGTACAACAAGTAATCAGTGTTGTGCGTCTTAAAAAGTCATCTGCAGTCCATGATCGAGGCTTCCAATGCTTCAACGGGACAGGAATGTGGATATAAGGTGATGGGGAGAAACTCGAAAAACATGAGGGAAAAAATGAATCGATGCGCTTGAATGGGAAATTGCAGAATCGCCATTGTTCTTCCAGGGAGAGTTCTCTTACCCTCGCCGGGGGCCTGCTTGAAAGCCCGAGAGGTCGAAAAAGCAGCATAGGCAGGCTTGGTGATCTGCTTCAAGGTGAAAGCATTCTGAGAAACAGCGGCAACAGGTCTCGAGACTGTTGCGCGGGAGGAGATAGCGAGAGACCGCGCAATGGAGCGGGGGGCGGAGCGAGTAAGAGTGCGAAGAGACATCATCTTGAAGGTAGTGGATGGATGGTAGATGGATTGAAGCTGAAAGTTTAATGGGAAAAATGAATGGGGGTGGGATGATGGTAAGAATGCGGAAGAGGCAAAGTGATGATGTGAACAAGAGGAGCCTGGAGTCTCAGGCATCTCCACTTTCCAAAGCTCTTCCCGTGCCAAGACCTGGAGCTCCATCCATTGAAGTACAGCACAGTACGTACTTCATTTACTGGTGATTCAAGGAAAACCATATGATATGATATGTGTGTACACGTGAATTATATGCAATCATAACGCCATAGTCCCATGAGATTCCCACGACAAAGCACCCAACTTTTTGCAACTCGGAACACAGAAGACGAAGAAAATCTTTCAAGACATTCCCTTGGGGGGAAATACTGAAGGCTGCTTGCCTCCATCCTTAGTGATCCGGATGAACTTCATTGTGCTCAAACCAGACCAATCGCCATTCCAAGCCCTAAGCGAGTTGATCACACCCTGCTCACTAAGGTCAGGCAACCAAAATCCCGTCTTAAACTCCTTGTTCTCGACATCGGTTCGCTGCAGCAACGCTTCTTCCCGCTTGCTTGGGGGTCTGCCCTTCCGTCTCTCGCTCTGTAACTGCTCGATCTCGGGCACACTACGGTTGATATACCTGGTCTATACGTGAGCGTTCAAAGCGCATGAAACTATGATTGAGCCTTGCGCCGCCGGCACATACCTCACCACGATATCCTTCATCTCGTCTTCCGACATGGGTGTCGCATCCTCGGATAGGGTCTCGTAGAAGTATGCAATGCGGTCAACTGTATATCATGGGATTAATCAATGAGAAGTCCTTGGAGTGTGACAAGAGTGGCGCAGTGCTAGGCACTCACCATAGGTTTGTCTGCCCCGCGACATATTGGCGGACACTCGAGCGACTCGGTCATCTCTAGCGGTAGCACGGCGTAATCTTCTGGCATCTCTGCTGAACTCGTGAAGAGCTTCAACCGCTCCTCTCTTTTTCGCAATGTGCTTGTGTACTTTCTGTAGCGTCTTCGGCATGGTGACGTTTTGTTTCTCCTGTCTGCTTTTAGATTGTTGCAATGTCGTCCAGTTTATCAGCGATTTTTTTCCCCTCGGCGAATTTCTTTTTTTTTGGGCAGGCAGAATGCAATGGCGGTGAGGAAGCGGTCTCAGGCCGCTCACATGAAACCAATCAGAATATGAGATGGCTTCCCTCGCCCCATCGCGTTCCTGGCGCGTCGGAGGGGATGAAGATCAAGCATTCCAACCTCGTTGTCTAGGTCATTGTCTTTTGCTGGTCGCTTAGGGGGTGGACGTCTTCTTCTATCATTTGATTAGGAGCCTTTCCATGGTCCTCGTTTTCATCATCTGGCTTGACCCCTGAGCACCTACAGCCGGAGCAGATCCCTGTCTTGGCGGTGCCGGTCTAGAGAGCGCGGCCTGCCATCTCGTCAATAGGGTACTGACAATGGGAATTAAAGGTAACCCTGGTCTTTCCGAAGCGCTTGAGAGTCGTCTCTGATTATTCGTGTTCTTTCTAGGTCTCCATGTTCTCCTCAAATCAATCCAGAAACCATGTCACCTGAAAAATTATAGTGGGCAGACCTTGGGAGTCGATGCCTACGGATGGCTACATCGTGGTACGGTCGCATGTGCCGTGGATTTGGTCCTGGACAAGCCCACAAGGAAGTATGTACCTGTAGGCCTGCCATCTGACTGCTTTCCGCTAATATAAATGAAGACACATTGACTTTGTTCTTAATCGAGTTCGCATGCTTATCTACTTTGGAGTTACGCCATACCTTGTGTTCGACGGTGACAATCTTCCTAGCAAAGCTGGCACTGAAGATCGACGCCAGAAAAGGCGACATGACGGCAAGTCACTTGGGATGGAATTGCTCCGGAAGGGCCGCACGAAGGAAGCCTACCAGGAACTACAGAAGGCGGTCGACGTGACTCCTCTAATGGCGCGTGAGTTGATTGAAGAACTGAAGCAAATGAATGTGCAGTATGTGGTGGCTCCATACGAGGCCGATGCACAATTGGTATACTTGGAGCAGCAGGGTATCATTCATGGCATCATCTCAGAGGACTCCGACTTGCTTGTGTTTGGCGCCAAACGCCTGCTGTCCAAGCTTGATCAACATGGTGACTGCATCGAGATCAATCGCGCGGACTTCGGGGCTTGTCGGGACGTCAGCCTAATAGGATGGTCGGATGATGACTTTCGACGCATGTGCATTCTCGCCGGCTGCGACTATCTGGCTAATATCCCACGTATGGGTCTGAAGACGGCCCATCAGAGCATACGGAAATACAAAAATGTTGAGAAAGCCGTGCGGATGCTCCAGTTTGACGGCCAGTATCACGTTCCTGCGGACTACTTGAAGAGTTTCAAAGAAGCGGAGCTTACTTTCCTCTATCAGCGAGTCTATTGCCCCAAGGCCGAAAAGCTGGTTACGCTCACAGTGCCTGAAAGTGATGTTAACCTAGAAGAATTGACTTTCATCGGCGGTGATGTGGAGCCAGAGGTTGCGGTGGGAGTGGCTCGGGGGGACCTGGATCCAGCAACCAAGCAACCTCTGGTATTGAAGCCGCCAGCTGCAGCGAAGTTTACCGAGAAACGACTCACAAACACCTTGCAACGTCGACAAACACTCGGATCAGCGGCTGAATTGAAGCCCAACAAACCCATCAATTCTTTCTTCACCCCAAGACGTACGCCGTTAGCTGAGCTCGATCCGAATAGCCTCACGCCGTCCCCAAGCCAGCAACGGCTCCTAGAGCGTCATGCTAATACTTCCTGGGAGAGTAGTTCCGTTCCCACGCAGCCAACTTTGATGAGGTCGTCCTCCTCTGCTACCTTGTCGAGCAGATTCTCTAGTCCCTTGGTGAGAAGTGTCGAGCGGGACTCTTTTAATCCTCACGCCTTGAGGCTGTCTGCTCTGCAACCGTCTAAGCGACAGCGCCTCTGTTCAGATATAGACGAGGGACAGTTGCCAAGCGCATCTACTTGTCGCAGTCGATTCTTCACAAACAGTACTGATGAGTCTAGCCCGAGCGGACTCAAGATTGATCGAACTAAGAAGGCTCGGAAACACTCTCTGGACGTCTTCTCGGATGATTCCGTAGAGGATATGATGTCTCAGATTCCGGATCCTGCCGAGACACCTGCGAAAGATAGGAGCGATGAGCATCAAGACGCTGGGCCAAGTCAACCCCTCGACGCATCAAATGTGCCCCCGCAATCCACGAAAGCTGATGCCAAGGACCACCTCGATCAGGGGTTGGGGCAGAGGCAGGAAGTGCCATCGGATTCCGAAGGCAACTCCAAGGCTATCAGTCTGGAGTCTAACCCGGCCGAGTTTCAGAAAGTTCTCGACTATCACATCGAGAAGCAAAACTCAGGGCTGCTTTCGAGGTTTGCATTCCAGCGGAGAGACCGCAGCATTCGCTCGCAGACTGTCACTCGGACAGAACTCAATGCACGGCCCATGCCAACTATCTCCTTCTCAAAAGCGAAATCACCAATGGATCTGAGAACCGGTAGTCCACGGACGCCGCCTAGACGTGGCCGGACAACACCCTTGCAACGACTGGGGCAAAGTGCCCTGGCTAGGTCCCGATCTCTCAACCATCTTTCGTCCTCTCTCGCCGCATTTCGGGCATCAAAAGTCTCCCTTACTCCAGCTGAGCCCAACAACAGCAGTCTAGGTAGCACCCAGAATGTTCTGCCAACCTGTCATGGGAGTGAGGACATGATCATTCCGGATAGTGAAGACGATGAAGAAGATGATTTGGAAGAACCCAACAGTGATGCGAATGGAGGCTTGCAGGCCCCAGTCGTTATTGACCTCAAGCGATTCTCCTTTGTAGGTTGAGACAAACTCTTGGAGTGCTTGGGGGCAGTCGACTTATCTTTATCATTACAGGAGTTCTTGGGAGTATTGTTAGTTTTGTGTATCATGGCATTGGGTGGGTGATTGACATACAGTACAGTACATTACATGACGGAGAGGTGTTTGGACGTATAAATAATAGGATCTACATGGGATTAACCATATACCCCTTAGTTGGCAAAGCATCTGGCCAGACTATGACATAGGTTTTGTGTAGTTAGTTCCATGGAAAAGTTGGAGGTTGGGAGTGGGCACGTGCCGATAAGATGATGGGGAGGGGGGCTTAGTGCGATCAGTGGAGTCAGGGCGGATCCAATGGAGCGAGATGACGGCGGGCGGTGTGGGATGGTTACCGGGGAACACGCGCGGTAAACAAACGGGAAGTGGCAGGCAGTGGCCCAGCCTCCCGCTTTTGGCCCTTGTTCGGGCTGAAGTAGAGTACTGGGCAGTTTGAGTGGGCTGTACATACAGTACTGTGTACATCGTACACTCCACACCATCTTCCCAGCCCCCTCATTATTACCTTTTCCAATCCGGCTTCATTGACTGTTCTGGCGCGTCAAGGCACAATTCTGTCGGGTGGACTGAACCTTGGAAACCTGCTCCAGCTGAGATCTTACTCTCCCCTTTCCTCTCTCCTGCCTGCACTCTCCTTTCCCCATTCCCTTACCCTCCGCTTGCCTGTTTTTGGCAGACATCCAGTCCCTCCACTCGAGCCCACCCAGCCCAGTTGGTGACTCTCTTTGTACAATTCTAACCACCATTATCCACTATTCAGGGCTCTCCGTGAGATTTTCCAGTCATACATTCTTTGGATCTCGATCTTGTCAACGGTCCCGGCCCGTTGCCGCATTGCAACTCCTGTGCTCAACATTCCGGACAATCGCTGCATATCTCTCAGAGACATTGACGTATTCCCTCAGCGCCGGGAGCACGAGTACCGACATACATCAACACAAAAAGCTCCACTTCTCTCAAAGGAGGAGAGCTTCTCATCATACTTGATCTGTCAGTTGGGTGGTAGTATCAAAGAGGTGCGCAGCAACCGGCGCAGACTCCTTCTCGGGGTTCCGAGAAGTGAGTCTTGGATCAGAGACACGGGGAGACAACACCTGGACAACCCAAGATGCCTTCTAAAATCGGTGCCCGGCTAGCCCGTACGTATTCTGGATTTCATTTTGAAAGTATGCATGAGCTAACTAACTCGTGACCCTGCAGGGCTGCTACCAATGATTGGCTACCACCACGTACTGATGATTATCATTGCGGTCGCCATCATCCTTCTATGTCAGTAATTCTCCGGTCACCCGTGCTCTGGAATGCGACTAACGTCGACCAGCCCTATTATTGGCAGGATGCTCGTCGTCCTCACCCCAGATCCCTAGCATATTCCTGATATCACTATACTACGAACGATACTCGCCGACATTCAACCTAGCGCAGGTAGATCCTGGCGTGGTTACAGCAACGGCGAACATCGTAGGAGGGGCCGAAATGGAAGTCCGTGTGGGCTACTTCGGTATTTGCGTGCAGCCAGATGCGGGATCATATATTTGCAATGCCAATGCGACCGCCTTGGCCGAGATTGTCACAGTCGATCAAGACCCTCTGAACCTGATTTGGGTTGCGTCAACGTTCAAAGATGCTGTTGTGTTTCCGTACCTACTGTAGGTTCTTAGTTCTTCTTCTCGTGTGTGTCTTGCTAACTCGCGGTAGCATCATCGCCGTCATCCTCGCCTTTTTCTGTTTCATCCTGCTGGCTACCTTCCCTGGATGGCACGACGAGCTCGATGCTAGTGGTTCCGAAGTTGAAGCCAAGCCGTTTCCTTCGCGACCTGTCTCGCAAGCCGCCCTGGCTCTCATCTTCGTCGCATCCGTCTTCGTCCTCGTTTCCGTTCTCTGGCAACATACCGCATCCGTCGCCGCGAGCACCATCGCCCAGGACATGGGCAATGGTAGTGTGAAGAGTGGTGTTGGCACCTCTGCCATGGTACTGGGCTGGTTTGGGTTCGGTCTCATGGTGGTCGTGACGATAGGTCTTCTCGTCATGATTCTCAGCATCAGCCTCATCAGACAATTGACGGACGAAGCATAGTCACGTTGACATGCCAACTTGCACCCTCATCAATTTATTTCATTGCACTTTGATTCCCCACTCTGATTTTCAACGCTACGCATTCACCCTTCATTCGACTCTCCCGTCTTCTTGCGATCACCACGTCCCAGAGACGGCATATACAACGTGCAGCACGTGAATAATGATGCATATTTGACATTTGGAACATGGACTTTTTGTCTCTAGTTTTTTATACGAGTTTATGGACACGGACATTTGGACAAGGGAAATACGAGATACGGTTACGGTTTTTCATTTTTGTTTGTTTAAAGAAGTCATCACGAAGAAAAATGCCTAATGAACAAGATGCGGCCAACAACAGATTAAGTCGGCCGTTCAGTCTTGAGCTTAGCTTAGCTCACCTCATGCGAAACAATAAATCTACTCGCAAATTATTGTTTCGTCCGCTTTCCTCCTTCCCTGTATAACCTTCCTCCGGCGGGAAAGATCTTGTTGGCCGCGATGCTTTGTTTTTGCTTTGTCGTTGACCTTGTATAAAACGCTTGTCAAGGTTGCTTCACGTTATCTTCTGGCTGCGGAGGGGACACTGGGTGGATTTGGTTCGTCATAGTTTTGCTGTTGTTTTGCCTTCAAGATTATGTATTTGTTGTGGATTTTGTGTTTACTGCTGATGAGAGTCGATCTGCGCAAAGAACTTCAATAGGTAGTTGAGACACGTCACATGCATTGTCCTCACCAGCCCCCGTATCCCCCCACTGGAACACAATTCGAGCAATATCCCACCATCAAGAAGCTTTCGATCTAAATCCCCGTTTGGAGACTTCAGCTACACAAGGAATCAATTGGGAAAAGATCGAAGACTAGATGGACAATCACATGACATGGTATTGTGATCAGCGTCTACTGGGAAATTTGCTTGTATACTATTGATGAGAACAAAACATCCTCTCATCGGTTCACATAAAAGAACAAATCGCGACGACGATGACCCGCGGGGTGGGTTACGCAAACAATAGAGCCGCCCCGCCTATTGTTCCTTTTGTTTAGTAGTTCATCACCGGCGGACCACCGCCTGGCCCGGGCTTTTCCTCGTAATTGTTCCCTTCATACCCACCGCCGTAATCGTCTAGGGACCGGTACCCCGGCGGACCATTGTCACGGCCACCGCTACCACCACCACCACGGCCTCGACCACCACCGCCGCCACCACCACGGTTGCCGCCGCGGTTCTGATGGTGGCCACCGCCGCCGCCCCTGCCTCGCCCTGCCGCACCGCCGCGACCGCGGCCGCGGAATGCGTTACCCCGACGCGGGGGTCCACTATCATCATGGTGATGGCGATTCCCTCCGTTGCGCAAGGTATTCGGGTGCGGCTGTCTGCCGTGGGGGTGGTGAGGGTGGTGGTGGTGGTGGTGGTGGGATGCAGAAGCAGCGGCGCCATCATACGTCGCGGCGGGCTGCTGCTCCGCGTGCGGCGGATACAGGATCTCTTCGTTGCGTTCCTGCTGGTGCCGTCTTTTGTTATTCTTGTTGAGGAACTGGCTCTCCCACTCGCCCTCGTTGGGGTTCTCCTCCTCGACGCGCAGGACCACCTTCTCGCCGACGACAGTGTCCACGGTGAGGGCCTTGTCGGCGGGGACGGGGTGCCAGTTCTGGATCTTGCCGGCGTCGATGGGGCGCGCGCCCTTGCGCACCGCCAGCACCACGACGGGCTGCGGGTTCTCCGTGTAGTACTTCTCGGTGGCGGGAACGGGCGCCATGCGCGCGGCCCAGACGCGGTTCTCGAAGCAGGCCGTGCCCGTGATCTGCCAGCTCAGCTTCTTGCCAATGCCCCCGACCTTGTCCAGGATCGACCGCGGGGCGGGGCGGGGCGTGATCAGGATGCTGTTGGCCATGTACTTCAGGTCGTTGGAGTCCGCGAGCCCGTAGGGGAGCATGGGGGTTAGTACTTCGCGAATCAACCGGCTTGAGTCGGCGTTGGAGATCAAGTAGCCGGTGTAGAAGATGGTGCGCTTGATGCGCAGTCGACCGTACGGCGACTTGGCCTTATTTAGTGACGGGTTGCGGGTGGTGAGGTTGTGTGAGTTAATCATGCGCTGCACCTCGGCGGCTTCCCATACGGGGTCAAGATACATGGATCCTTCCGCGACCTGGATGACTTCCGAAGTGATCGGCTTTCTCGGGCTGGGGCCCTGCGCAGGCTGGAACTTGCGGTTCAGCTGCTCGAAGTAGTCCCGGAAGCCTTTGGCACTGGCAGAAAGGTCAGACGTTCCGGCAATATGAACGAGAATAACACATAAAGGAGAGACGTACTGTTTCGGGCGGTCTTCATAGATGCGAAGATCTTCAGCCTGCTCGTAAGTGAGGATAAGGTCTTCCAGGAAGGTCTGCTTGAATTCCATCGTGGTCGCGAAGCGCTGATTCCTCGGGCCAACTTCCGGCTTGAGGCATATCAAATCGAACTCCAGCTTCTTGCTGCTCACGATTCGTTTGATGATCTCCGAGAATCCACTTTCACTGCGACCCGTTAGAAGCACCGTCAAGGCGTCTTTCTGCTCCATGCTCAATTTCACGAGTTGCACCTAAGGGGGAACGTATCAGCCAATTGCTGTAGTTCACTTGTAGGTTATTGTAATGTAATGGAAGGCCACACAATCTGTTCGTTCCACCACCCCTCCCAAGCGCGCGGTTCCTCCTTCTCGATACCTTCTCCGGTAGCCGACAGGAGGTTCGGGTCATGCCACCAACCGCCGTTCGCGAAACTCTCATAAGCCTGAAGGAACCCGATCGTCGGACCGTTCCAGAGTTGCGGATTCGGAAGTGGGCTCAGGAATACTGGAAAGCATTAGGATGCGAGGGCGAATCAGACGGAGGTCGCAGGACATCCTTACATGTGTTGTCGAAGTCGTAGACGTGAATAGACCTGACCTGCGATACTGCTGTAGCGCAAGAACAGACGAGAATATCAGCCATCCGCAGCTTTCGAAGCGCGTATCTGGTTGTGGAAGCAAGATCCTTACCTGGTAGTTCTTTGTTGGTGATGGACCAGCGTCTTAGACTGGTGATGGTGCGCGCGGGCGCACTCTGAGTGTGATTTCTCATTTTGGAAGCGTTCTCTGCGACTACGGACCTTGCAGATCTCATTACCTTCAGCATGAGTGAGTTGCGACCGACATTCAAGGATTCACATAGGCAAGCAGAGATTCATATATCCACAGCTACTGTGAGTCAGTGCGAGGTTTCACCGCGGAGATTTCGCCGCATATCACGGAAGGCCGCCGCAAAGAGGCGCGCTTGGCCCGCCTCCGTCTCCATTGTGGCGGGCAGTTTCGATGTCTTCGGCAGGCGGTCTGGACTTTTTGGTCAGCTCTTTGCGACGGGAAGTCGTCGACTTTCTAAGCGGTGAGGTAGACTGCAATGACGTTTGGTTCCAAGGCGGTCAGCAATTCCTCGCCCTCTTCGATGTGGAAACTTAACGAACAAAACATCCCCATCCTCTTTTCACTCTCATCATACCCAATCGTCCACTCGTTAAAAGAACCCCTTTTGATGTGCGAGCGGGTGTAACTTTCCATGTCCGATGATGATGGCATACGGCAGGCAATCTTGCAACGAACGCTCCAAGAGGTAGCACAAGAGGAAAGCGAGAATGAGGCAAATCCGTGCGTCATCTGCCTCGAACCGATCTCCGAAACCGCCATTGCGGTGCCCTGCAAGCATGCGAACTTCGACTTTCTGTGTCTGGTGAGCTGGCTGGAGCAGCGTCGGAACTGCCCGCTCTGTATGTACTCTCACGTACCCGAGAATTCGAATTTGGTCCAGTCTGCAAAGGGTCAGGGTCTTCAGCTGACGCCAAGTTGAAGGCAAGAGCGACGTCTCCGCAGTCAGATACAACCTCGACAGCCCCCAAGGAACCAAGATCTATCACCTACCGCCTGCCCCGCCAGCGAACACCAATACATCCTCGTCCTACCTCCCCGCATCACCCATCCACCATCACCCAGCCCGTCGCCCGCGCCGCGCTCGAAGCCCCGCGAATCGACCACCGCTCCAAGACCAACCGAGCGACGACCCCCTCCGCCGACGCCAACACATCTACCGCCACCAACTCTACTCCCTGCGCGTCGGCTCCAATCGTCTCTCCCAATACCGCGAGCTCACGCCCGACCGCTTCAACCGCGAGGAGGAGCTTGTCTCGCGCGCGCGCAAATGGATCCGGCGCGAACTCAAAGTGTTCGCCTTTCTGAACCCCTCATCTGAGCTCTCCGCCGCGGAACATAACGAGGGAATTGGTAGAGGTGCTGGTGAATTGCGCTCGACGGCGCAGCGACAGCAGTCCGCACCTCCACGGGCGGGTCAACAGCGACTAGAGAACCGCCGTGGCAATAATGCCGAGTTCCTTCTCGAGTACATCATCGCGATACTCCGCACGGTCGATATCAAGGGCAGCGCGGGTCAGGCGGAGGAACTTCTCCGGGATTTCTTGGGAAGAGAGAATGCGCGGTTGTTTCTGCATGAGCTGCAGGCTTGGCTGCGGAGTCCGTATACCTCGCTGGAGGATTGGGATCGGCATGTGCAGTATGAGGATGTGTCGCGGCGGGAGGGAGCTTCGTCTGCGCAGGCGCGGGCTGAGGGCGCCTCGGCGTCGACGCCGGTTTATCGGGGTGGGACTTCACATCATTATGGGGGAGGTGGGAGAGGAAGAGGGAGAGGGAGGGGGCGAGTGGCGAAGCCGGCGCATTCACGGAGGCAGCCGTATCAGCGCGAAAGCCAGGCGGAACAAGCCAGGAGGGTACAGTACGCTCGGGAGCGTTATATACCAGACTAAGATGGAGAAGGCTGTATGTCTTGCTGCGCTGTTCGCAGCTAGGAATTATCTTGCATATACTATGAATGATTGATGCATGCTATAGACAAATGTATAAATGATAAGACTGGTATCTTGGATGATGCAAACGAGAAGAATACGCTAGTAGGTTTCATGGCTCGTGATGTTTAGGCTCTGGTTTTCAACGTCGCCTGCCGAAGCGCCCGCCGCCTCGTCCCTTGAAGTTCTTGTTTCGGATTTTCAACGACCGGTAGTTGGCGTGCGCCTCCGGATTGACCTTGCGTGCACGCGGCTGTTTGGGCTCGGGGTCCTTTGCCTGCGCCTGAGGTCGTACAGGTGGTTTCTCCGGAGTCTCTGTTGCCGGCGGTTTGCCGGCCGCGATGGCCTCCTTCATCTTCTCGGAGAAGCTCTTGCCCTTCTCTCGAGGCCGGGATCCTTCGTCGTAGTCCGGGTCGAAGTCAGACAGGTCCGGTTCCGACATGGTGTGTAACGAATCGAGGTCGTCGAAGTCAGGAATGTCGATGTGGCTCCGGTCCAGAGGGCCGGGGGCTACGAGCTGCTGAGTTTCCCGGACGGCGGTGACCCCCCCATCAGGGCCATTATCCCTCTCGCCGTCTTCCTCCTCTTCATCCGAAAAAGACGGCAGCTCGGGCGCAGCCTGCCTCGACGTTGAAACCACCGGCTTCATGCGCACCTTGCGGGTAGTCCGCTTCTGGCCCTTCTTCTTCCAGACGGGAGCGCCCTCGTTCTCAGCTGCGGCCTGGCTATCGGCCACCTGCGCCGCGTCCATCATAGCCGCCTGCTCGGCCTCGATTTCTCGTAGAACATCCATATCGTCCTCCAACTGCTCCTCTTCCATGTCCCGCAAACCCTTCACCAAAGCCGAGAGCCCTTTCCCGACGAACTGGGGTCGTTTCCGCGTGGCCATCGGGCTCAATCCACCCGTGATGTTTGAGGTATCGTACCGTCCCGACGTCGACCGCCGCAGAAACGAGGGAGTCTCCGACCCAGGGTCGTTCGGCTCATCCACTGCCGCCACTGATGCTCCCTCTGCCGCCCCCCCGGCCGTCGCTTCCGCAACAGCAGCAGCAGCAATTCCCTTATTAGACCCATCATCCATCATCGTCGCATACCGCCAAGTAGTCGGAGTAGCAAACAGCGTCGACAGCATCCACTTCTTCCCCGACGAAGTCGGCGTCCTCCCCAGCCTCGAACTCTCATCATCATCATCATCATCATCGACATCCTCACTCTCCCCATCATTTTCCGCTTCCTCCCCTTCCTCCGCAATCGTATCCATCGTCTCCCTCTTCTTGTTCAGGGATCTCCTCCGCCTCGACGGCGTCCGCACACTCGCCTCCTTCAAACCAGCAATCCTCGTCGCCGACGGCGTCGCCGTACTCCCACCGGACTCCGACAACAGATCAAAAAGCCCCAGCGCCTTGCCATCGCGCTGCGGCGTCGGCCCGATCGCCGCCTTCAGCGGCGACAGGTGCGTGCTCGGGCTGAAAAGCCGCCGCAACACCGACGGCGAGTCGTACGGATCGACCTCCGCCGGATGAGAGGTCGATTTTCTGGATGGCGTCTCAAAGGCCCCGGTCCCCCCGCTTTTGTCTGTCTTCTTCCGTGGGGTGGAGAGGTTATCCGAAGACCCATGCGGGGAGGTGTGTTTCCGTTTCCTTTTGTGGTGTCGGGCGTTTTCCTCTGTTGGGTTGGTGGGTATGCTGGTAGAGGATGATGTCTCGAGGGCTTTGAGGCGGGAATATTCTTTGTATTTGGCGGCTGATAGACCCAAAAGTGGGCGTTAGCTGGGCCTTCTGCTTCTGAGGGAGGGGGCAAGTTTTACTGTTCTGGAGGGGAAGGGGGATAGGCGCTTACCAATCTCAGGTACCTTCTTGATGTCACTTCGATCGGCCTTTCTGCCTCCGTTGGCGTCGGCGAATGCTCGTTCCCATTCTTTGAGCTCCGCGCGGAGGGTGGTGGAGGAGGGGGTTGTTGAGGAGGGTGGTATGGTGGTGGCCATTATTGCATGTTGAGGATCTATAGTGCCGTAGTATAGGAGGATCAAGTGGCTGTCAAGGTTTGTCTGAGGAGAAGGGATTGTGTAGGCGTGGTGGTGGTGGTGGTCTTGGTGGGTAAGTTAATCGTGGTCCGGCTGTTGGTCCCGTCGCGTCCGCGAAAATCAATTAACGCGGGTTTGTGCAGGGCGGGCTGACGTAGCGTGTCTCGGTCCCCGGCTTTCACTTTCACGTAGTACTCCGTAGATGTTTATGGATCGAAGTCTAATTTTTGTACTGTACCGTACCTGAGATTTAATTATTCTTATGACTTGATTGGGTATTAGCTAAGTATACAGATTTAATCATGATCACTGAGAACAAAATTCTATCACCAACTCGTCAAACCACGACATCGATCGAACCCACCCCGTAACTGGGAGTCAGGATGCACCACCTTGCCCTGCAGAAGCGTGTACTTGACGATGCCCTCGCAGTGCTCCGGCCGGATCCGGGCCAGCCAGATCATCTGCTCCTGCGCCTTCCGATACACCAGCACATTCGCCGAGAACTTGTGGCCGCCGACATGCGAGACGAAGAAGATGCCCACGCCGCCGGGCCGCTCGTCGGTCGCGTCGCGATACAGCCCCAGCGGCCGCAGATGTCGCTCCAGCTCCTTCTTGATCAGCGGAGCGGTGATCCCGCAGCGCGCGTCGCGCCGTCGGTGGGAGCAGAGCAGCACCACGTAGTCGTACTGGCATGGTCGCGGGGCCAGTCGCGATGCGGGATCGTGGGCCACGAGGCCTTTGTTGGAGAGCGGGGCGTCGATGTATCGGTCAACGACCTCGCGTACGTCGGCTTTGTGCACGGAGTCGAGGAAGGTGAAGGAGGGGAGGAGAAGAATTGTCGTCCCGTTGTTGTTGTCGTTGTTGTTGTTGTCGTCTTCTTCTTCTTTCTCGTGGTGGGACTGGAGATTTGAGGCTGAGATCATCATGCGCTAGGTTTCTCCCCGTCAGCGATCATTCATTCGCACTCAGCGGACCTGGCTCATGCTTAATGCCGGATTTGAACATACCCCGTGTTTGGACTGGTTGGATGAAGCATCGAATGCCTCCATGAGAGATCCCTTCTCGTTCTCAACATGTTCGGTCCAGTCCGACTTCCCTGTCGCGACCAAGACGTGGGTGTGGAATTCTTTGATGTGTCCGTACAGCGGCCGGGAGGTCTCGACCTTCACCTTCGATGGGAATTGTACCGTGCAGTCGACGCAGTCTTGCTTGCAGTCGGGCCCGTCTTGCGTGGGATCCACGCTGGGGAAGATGTAGTCGTCGTTGCGGATCAGGCCGCCGCGCGACAGAAGGGACCGGAGCATCGTAGCTGGGTTGGTTTGCGACGCTATGCTTTTGAGAGAATGGTGGTCTTTCCCGGCACGCTGATCTTCAAAGAGAATGGGTATATCGTACGATAATCGATTGAACTGCTCGGACACTAGAGAAGAAAATAAATAAATCTGACAGCCATTTCCATGGTGGATTGAATTCTAACTTTTCCTATATACTCCGTTGAGCTCGGAGACGGACTATCGCAAAGTATCATCTCCGAGGCTTATCCCCGAGGGAGGTAATCGAAATAGGCAACCATGATTGTTCTCTATTCCGTCGAGGCGTGGAATTAAACTTCGAGTAAGGTATGTCGCGGAGACAATGACAGCGACCTGTCAAATGGTAGGCTGCAGCTACACTTCCACTGTCATTGTCATAATGTGTCAGTTTGAGTCGTGGACCACATACAGTACGGTAGCTCCTCCGGCGAACTATAGTTAACACACTTGACTGGCTGCGGACGAGTAGTTAAAGCAAAGCGTTGCTTAGTTATTGGCAGTGCGGCCACTGGCTAATTTTGAGTCTCCGGCTCCATAACTCTATCGCACTCAATTGAGCCGAAAACCAGAAAATACCGAGGACCCAAAGATTAGGCCGTTGGACAATGCAATGCCTTCAATTGCACCAGCCCCTCGCCCCTCTTCGCGACAGTGGGACTCTGGCCCGTGTTTCCAATTGCTTGCCTGCCTGCAGCTCTGGACCCTTCGATCCTTCTCGTCACTAAACCCAATTAGGCAAATCCTGGTTGTTCATCCCCCAGTCTGGTTAAATTGCTGCAAATGAATGTTCTGGCGAATGTCTAAGAGAATGCGACTGAAACAATCAATCAACAATCTTGGAAAAGCCGACCGTAACTTTAAGCGAAGCTATGTGTGGGCGTTGTAAAAACCAAGCCGGAGGAAAATGGCGGCTGCGCCTTTTTCACTGAACGTTATCGTACCCTACTGGCTACTCGGCGAAAAATCCAACGGTCTTGTGTCGAAGTGAAAGAAGATGAAAGACAATCGATTGTACAGTATGTGCAAACACATAGTGCATAGTGATTGAGAAACTGTAAAGAAATTAAGAATTGTCTCTGCGTACACATCGGCGATTGTTCTTGTTCTTGGAAAGGTGTGAAACCAGGCCCACCGGGTCAGGTTGCCCCATTTGGTGGATATGGCCGGCAGTGCCAAACACGTAAGCCACCATCCACCAATTGTGACTGAGGCCTGGGAGGGAAACTCACTCGCTCTGCCTGCGGTCCTCCACCCATTCCACCATGGACCCCCCCCCTCCATCTGCCCCCAATACATTTTGGCGGTGGTGCGCATACCTACCTCCGTTTCTCACTTCCTTCTCATCCTTTTACACTGCGCATCCACCCCCCCCCCTCTTCCTCTCCAATGATGGCTGACGTTCAGTTGAAATTGGCAGCTTCGGCTCCAAATTCTCAACCAGAACAACAGCAGCAGCAGCAGCAGCAGCAGCAGCAACAGCAACAGCATCGAGTGCGCAAGCGACGCCGACGGACAATGGCGTGTATGCAGTGCCGCAGCAGAAAGCTCCGTTGCGACCGTGAATATCCCGTATGCGGACGTTGTCAGAAGAGCAAAACCCCAACCCGATGCACCTACGAGGATGGATTTCTCTGGCAGCAACCCAATACAGTTGCTTCGCCCGTTTTCTCCGAGAGAGGTCCCACAGCCACGACACAAATGGCCCAGACTGATCGGGCGACTGCCCACCCTACCCCGGACTCGGGGATAAGTAGTTTGCCGACTCGGCCTCAACCATCCTCCAGGGACTCACGTCCCGGCGAGGAGAGACGCGATAAGTTTCTAGAAACCGTTCTCGGCGCCCCCAAGGCCGCCGTCAACCAAGAACCTTATGCAAATACCAGCCTGCTGCACCGGCCGCGCCAGGTCTTCGAGCCTCACCCGGACACCCAACCGCACCCCGCCGAGGACGACGAAGATCTGGCCTCGCCGACGCAGCAGCTGGATATCTCCCCGCGGATCATGATGCGAGGGCGAGAGACCAAGACTCGTTACAATGGCTCGGGCATATTTGCCAATCTGATAGCTCAGGTATGCCATCCATGATCCAAGCCAACTCATGTCCGAGGGACAAACAAAAACAATCCTACGATCTGATTGGCCCTGCCACGAGTCACTTATGTTGATTGCATACTTTAGTTCCCCGACCTCAGAGCCTTTGCCGAAGAGATCAGGGTTGCCAGTCCGCATCTCTCGGCCTTGCGACCGGATCTTATCAGAGTTAAAAAGGGCCTCTGGAAGCGGAAACCTTTGAACGAGCCCTTCCCCATGCCCACCATGCAGTCACTAGTCACCATGCTTCCAGCTCGCGCAGTCGTCGACGAGTTGGTCTACTTGTATTGCATCTATATCGAGTCCACCCATCGTATCCTGCACATGCCCTCGTTCTTCGAGGAGCTGGAGCAGTTCTGGGCACAGCGGGAAAGCCCCGACATGACCTCGACTGTCTTTGTGGTTCAACTGCTCTTGGTGCTGGCTTGTGCGTGGAATCTAGCGGACCTCAATACTCTTCAAATGAAGAATGAGGCGCCCCTCACCTGCTATACTGCCATTGAATGGATTCTCCACGCAGAGAAGTGGATCGAAAATGCCAACCTCAAGCGACCCGAGCTCGCTACCCTCCGTCTGCAGACTCTGCTCATCATCGCTCTGAATATCCATGGCATGAAACGCAGTCAGGCATGGCTTGCCACAGGGACTCTCGTCAAGCGGGCTATGATGGCGGGGTATCACCGCGATCCAAGTCGATATACGAAGATTTCCGCGTTCAGCATGGAGATGCGCCGACGAATGTGGGCTACCATCGTAGAACTCGACCTCCAGATCTCCCTCGAACGAGGCATGCCCCCTTCGGTGCAAGAAGACGACTATGATACCTTCCCAGCGTTGAATATCGATGATACGGAAATCAACGACGCTAGCACCGAGCTTCCGGACGAAAAGCCGCTGGATGTGATGACAGACTCATCGTTCCAGGCGGTGCTGACACAATCTCTTCCTTTGCGGCTGAAGGCCTGCGCCTTAATGCACTCTCCTCGCGTTAGTTGTCGGTACGAAGAGATAATGCGTCTGGATTGGGAATTGAATCGTCATCTTTCCAAGATCCCCGCATGGCCCACATCTGAAGTTGATGACCTCCATCGCACTTCGGAGCGCGTAATCTTGATGAGGGCTCTTTTGAAGAACAAGATCGGCCATTCGCTTTTGTCTATCCACACCCCGTTTGCCATTGAAGCCCCCAGAGAGGCTCTTTTCGCACCGTCAGCTCGGTCCCGCCTCGAAGTGGCGTCGATGATTCTTTCCACGCAGCGCCAGCTCCGTGAGAGGTCGGCTCAGCTGTCACTTTGCAATATGGGAGAATGGACCGTGCAGGCTTACTGCACCATATGCCAGCTCCTTCATGAAAAGGACAACAAATCCGGTCAGTCAATTATGCCTTCTGCGCTGTTCGTGGGTAGTGCTAATTCTACGGGCAGCTACTTCTCTCACTCGTACCCTCCCTGGGCTCCCCGAGTCATTAATCTCCCTGGTGGAGACCGCCCTGACCTGCCTCGAATCCCGCCTCCTTCTTGTGGTAAAGGGAGCGAAAGAATACTTCTTCATGTCGACAATTCTGGCGCTGGTGAAAGCCACTCTCTGGCCAAGCCAGTCCCATGTTTACAAGCAAGAAGTGGTGGAGCGTGTGATACTATTCGCGCAGACACTCTTCACACGACATGGCAACTGCGCTCATCTGGGCGACTGGGGCATGGGCAGTTTCAAGACCAACCAGGTAAGCGACCTAGTCTCTCTTATTCCGCAGCTCATCCTGACGATTCCAGGTTCCGAGTTTGAACGCCGGCCCTGGGATGGCGCCGCCCTTTGTTCCAGACGTAGCCGTAGGGCAACCGGGGACCTTCGGCATGGTGGTTAGTTCGATCTACCCTTTCTCTCTCATCTCGCTAACGATCTGTCTAGCCCGCTGTAGATCCGTTTCTCGACTCCTTTGACTGGGCCGACTTGACGGGCATAACGTTCTAGCCGTGATGTAAGAGTAGATAAATCATGCCCACCACCTTCCCTTATTACCTAATGCCCTATCACGACGATGATGGTTTGCACTGTACAAATACTCATACAATCGATAACCTGTATCATCTGAATGCTCTTCTGATTGCCTTAGTGATCGTCGTGGCGGTGACGCCATGCGATCGGGTTGAGCGACGATCCACGGCATCGCATCGATGTCACTGAATAGTCATGCACCCACATCTGGGCTCACTTCGCTCCCCGCCCGGTTTTGTTTTCGTTGTCAACGGTGCGCAATCATCAATCAGCCTTACCAAGGAGAAATCCGGAGCCCCTGAATATTGCAACCGATAGCCCACAAGTTGTGGTTTATGCAGGGATGATGCAAGAACGGAACGAACACCTTGGGGTTTGGGGGTGGTGGGGGTGGTGGGGTTGTTGATCATCTTGCGAATGGCATTGAGTGATCGATTCTGTACGTCAGTTGAGGTCCCTTGCTTGGGGCATTGAGTGAGGTCCATGACGTAGACACCCTGCATTGAATGCCAGTCAGTGGAGTGATTGCTTGACGATGCAAATCCAATGTCTCTGCAGCAATGGCTGTGCTGCATGATGCAGAGCGAAATTACAGTGTGTCTTTCCAGGGTCAACACTGGATGCCATGTATGTATCACCTGTATAACGAATCTCATATAATACAGTACATAGAGTCAAAGATTAGAAGATACAAAAATAGCAGACCAATAAGTGATCTAGAATGCGGCACAGTTTCATTGATATACTTCGAGTATACAGTATCTGAGCCCCTGAGTGGTAATTACCTTACCAGCGAATCTCCGTTGTTTAGGGCGGGAGATAAGAGATAAGATGCCTGCAGTACAGTACAGTACAGGACAGGACAGGACCCTCTTGTTGATGCACTGTTTACCTATTCTGAGATCTACTCTCGATGACTGCTTGTCTACACCACACTTGCATCACTGCATCCATCTCTAGGCACCAACTTTTATTTGTCCTCCCCCGTGGAATCTGGCCCACTTTGACTATCTAGTTAGGGTCTGGTCTAGACTATTCCAGTCTCCGGCGCTCAGCCCTGTTTCTACCACTTAGTCTGCTCTGTGTCCCGTATCCAATGAAGAAGATGGCTGTCGCCAAAGCGGTCCATTGAGGCTGTCCCGCAGTCTTCACAGCCATTGCACATGCATTGAGACTACATTCGGCCAGTTCTAACTAGTATATATTAGTGTAATCCACTAATAAGCTCTCGCCCACACTGATTCTCATCTTAAATTGAAGCCCCTCCCCCCAGTGCGCGGTCCAGTTTATCGCACCTCACATGCGAAACAGACGGCATCAATGCATCTTCTCACCCTCCTGGCTGGAATCATCTTCCTCCATGCGGTCAATGGCAGTCCCCAGCCCAGCGCCTCGTCACCGACCGAGTCCTCGTCCTTCTCCAAGACGACCAAATACCCTCTCCCCAATGTAGGGAACGTGGCCGTCCACGACCCCAACATCCTCCGCTACGACGGGACCTACTGGCTCTTCAAGGGCGGAGTCCACCTCCCCATGTACAAGTCCCAGTCCCTGGACGGACCCTGGACGCAGCTCGGCACCGTCCTCGACGGACCCAGCGAGATCCAGAAACAGAACAGCAGCCGCCCCTGGGCGCCCACCGCCATCGAGTGGAACAACACCTTCTACTGCTTCTACTCGATCAGCAAAGCCGGCAGTCGCGACAGCGCCATCGGTGTGGCGACCGCCACCCAGTTAGATCCTGGCAGCTGGTCGGACCACGGGGCCGTCATCAACACGGGCCACGGCAACGGGTCGGATATCTACCCGTACACGGTCTCGAACGCCATCGACCCGGCCTTCATCAAGGATCAGACCACGGGGCAGCCGTACCTGCTGTATGGGAGCTACTGGCATGGGATCTACTTGGTGCCGCTGGCTGCGGACTTGCTCTCGGTCAAGGAGCCCGAGCGCCAGAATGCGACGACGAATCTGGTTTATGTGCCCGATGAGAAGGTGAAACCGGTCGAGGGGTCGTTTATGAGCTACAGAGAGCCGTACTATTATGCTTGGTTCAGTCATGGCAAGTGTTGTGGATTCCAGAATGGGTTTCCTGCTGTAGGGAAGGAGTAGGTTTTAATCTGGAGATTGGTGCAGTGGATGGGGCTGTGTTTCTGACTGTGCGTGTAACAGGTATAGCATCCGGGTTGGACGGTCGAAGGATGTCCAGGGGCCGTTTGTGGATAAGGATGGACGGCAATTGACAGACGGAGGCGGGACGGTGGTCTATGGCTCGAACCATGGGACCGTGTATGCTCCTGGGGGTGTTGGGGTTCTGTCTGGTGCCGATGGGGATTCCGATGTTCTGTACTATCATTACCGTGGGTTGGCTCTCGTCGAATTGGCCGGATGTCTTGCTAACTTGACCCTAGTCAATACCTCGATTGGGTTCCAGGATACCGTGAGTAGATCTACCGTGAGGGGAGATTCCTGGTTGACTCCGACTCTAGGATGCGCAGTTGGGATGGAATTACCTCGACTACAAAGACGGATGGCCAGTCGCTGTTTCTGGGTATGTATCTCGATCTGCTCCCTCTGACCCCGCTGACGGCGATTTGCAGCGACAACAGCACCGGAACGAGCGAAAGCAGCGGAGTCGTGTTTGGACCTGATTATACGCTTCATGCTTTCTCATTCCTTTGTATGTCCCCATTCCCCTTTCCATGCATTATACTAATAATGCGTTCAGTCATTTGGGGATACCTTCGGCTACATAGTTGAAAGCCATGCTATCCGCCTTAAGGAACACGCATCTCACCCACATTAACGAGGCGACGATATGATACGATAATTTTTTCCTAGAGTTGAGGCCTGGCGTCTCCTATGCGATATACAGCATGTTGTTTACTGGAGTCGGACTTGTTATACATGTACATACTCGACTAATACTACCACCCGTACAAAGCCACCTTTCACGAATCTCACGGATCCCACCCCCCGTCCACATTCAACACCTGCCCCGTGGTATACGAGCTAGCATCACTCAACAAAAACAACCACCGACTCCCCTAAACTAACCCACAACACCAAAAAAAAGGGAGAAAAAAAAACATACGGCGCAACAGCATCCACCCAAATCCCCGGCCCCACTTCCTTAGCCACACTGCGCGTCAGCCCAATGACCCCATGCTTGGTCGCCGAATACGCCGCATGGAAGGCACGTCCTGGATACTCGCCGCGTTGATGATACCCAAGGAAGTGCGGATTGCTGGATCGCGCGTACCTCGGCCCGCAGGCAGTACATGGTGACGCGCAGCTGCCGGTCCGACTCGTCGGGGTCGGAGAGGTCAGCGCGCCCACGCCGTGCTGCCGGCCATGTTGGCCGCGCCGTCTAGGCGGCCCAAGTGCGTGACCGTCTGTTGGATCCAGGCGTCGACGGCGGGGCGGTCGGTGATGTCGAGATGGGTGGTGAGGATTCTCCCTTCCTGGGTCTGGGCGGGTAGGATGGTGACGGCGAGGCCGATGCCTGCCATGCCGATCTGGCGTGGATTTTGTGGGGGAAGGCCATGCGGTTGTTGACTCGGAGCATGATGTCGGAGGTGAAAGTAGGGACTGTACAGTGTATAGACCGGATATATGAATGGATAAAGACGAGCATGTGTTAGTATGGATACCCGGCTTTCCGTCTATTTAGCCATTTTGCCGTGGCTGCACGGCAGTTAGGTCAATCATAGGGGTTGTTCTGCTTACTGGGTAGTACCCGGGTGTAGTTGGACCATGCAACTCTTGTATACTACTAACTATACTCGGCTTCAACAGAACCACTATCTACCCAAATCCCTCCCGGACTAGGTACCACAACCTAAACCTCCTCAAACTCAGCACTCAATCCCCCGACCCCCCTTCACAGAAAATCTCACCCCCTCCACTCCCCCCGCTCTCCCCTCCTCATCAAAAACACACCAGTCCACCACCCCCTCCGCATCCCACCCAAAACTCACCCTCCCACCCCCCCGAACCCTCACCCCCTTTACCTCCCCATTACCCCAAGCATCAGGAATCGCCGGCCCCAACACCACCTCCTGCCACACCTTCCCCCCACTCCCCTCCTTTTCGTTCGCTGCATCCAACCTCGCATAACTAAGATCTTTATCCCGCACCAAAAACTCCAGCACGGCGCCCACGACCCCGAAATTCGCATCCGCCTGGAACGGCACACTGCCCCCGTAGAGACTGAACCCATTCGGCCCAAAATTCTCCTGAATGGCGAGGGTTAGCTCCGCGTACGCGTGGGCGGTATCGTTGAGGTTGGCCCAGCACGCGCTGCGCCAGACTTTCGCCCACCCTGTGTTCTGGTCTTCCGTGCCGTTGCCGCGGGAGATCAGGGTGGTGGTGACGGCGGCGGTGACGGTGGTGTTACGGCCAAAGGGGCTGGAGATGGAGGAGCCGGGGTACCAGCCGTAGAGGTTGGAGAGGTGGCGGTGCGTGTCGTTGGGGGTGTCGAGGTCGAGTTTCCATTCTTGGATTTGGTTCCAGGATCCGATTAGGAGGCCGGGGGAGAGGTGCGCCAGGGTTTTGCGCAGGGTTGTTTGGAGAGAATTGTTGGCTGTTTTTTGAGAGGGGGTGGTGAGGAGGTGGGTGAAGAGTTCGGTGAGGAGTTGGTGGTAGTGCGTGCAGCCGAATGTCTATATTTATTGGGTTGGTTAGGAGGGTGTTTTGGTTTGGGGGAATTGGGGTATGGGATATGGGCTTTGGGGGGTATGGGGGCGGGCATACGGTTGGACCATGTTCAGGCGAGTTACACGGGTTGACGACCAAGGTGCCGTCGTGGAAGTATTCGTCTTCCACCAGCTGCGACAGCCAGAACTCGGCCACCCCGGCCAGAATCGGATACCCCGTCTCCTCGTACCAGGCCGAATCCTGCGTGTAGTCGAAGTGGTCCCACACGTGGTGGGCGAGCCAGGCGTTCGAGACGGGGTAGTTGGCCCATTGCGCGTCGTTTTTCATGCTGCACAGGATTAGCTTTCTTGGGAATGCTGTGAGTATGCAGGCAGGGAAACACTCACGCTGTATGCCCAAAAGTGTTCATCTCGTCGTGCGTCACCCACCCGGAGCTGGCCCCGTATAGCAGCTCCGCCGTCTCCGCCCCTCGCGGCATCCACGTCTCCGTGATGTATCGCCACAGCGGCTCCGTCAACTCCCCCAGACCCGTCTGCTCGACGGCCCAGTGCGCCATCTGCAGGTTGATGTTGGCGTGGTAGTCGCCGCTCCACGCGGGGGAGTAGGACTCCGTCCACAGGCCCTGCAGGTTGGGCGGCAGACTTCCTGGTCGCGAGGAGGAAATGAAGAGGTATCGACCGTAGTCGAACAGCAGGTTCTCGACGAACGGGTCCCCGGGCAGCGTATACGAGCTAATCAGCTCCGTGGTCGGCTTGCTGGAGGAGTTGTTCGGGTCTGGCAGGGTGAGCTCGAAGGTACCCGAGAGCGCTTGGAAGTCCTTCAGGTGCGCCGATTTCAATTGCGCGTACGACTTTTTGGCGGCGCTCGTCGCGGTCTGCAGCACTTGCTGGTAGGGGTCTTGCCCTCGGAATGAGAATCCAGCCGCAGCGTTGCCCTTGGCCGCATCGTAGTTAGTCCCGGCGGCGAAGATGAGGAATACCTCACGTTGACCTTTGGAAACGTTGAGGGTGGCGTTGTTCCGTGAGCAGTAGTTGCTCGAGGTTTCCGCTCCGGGAACGACTACCGTCGCTCGGGCATTATAGATCATGCCGATGGTAGGCGCGGTGACGCCGTACAGACTTATGCTATTCCCCTGGCAGGTTACATTCGGGGTTGGAGACGAGAGCTGATTCTCCAGCCCGAAGGTGATTGCCGGCAAGGATCGGTTGGATGCTAGTCGATAGACGCAGACTTGATCCGGATACGAACAGAATGCTTCTCTGCATACCGCCAGTCAGTCCTCTCTCTCACCATAGGAAGGTGAGTATGCGCTTACCTGGTGATGTCGACATTGCCAGTCTTGAACTGATCCAGGTAAACGCCAGACTCCAGATCGAGGCTACGCCGGTAGTTGGACACAGCCCCCAACTCTCCCAGATCGATGGTCAAATTGCCCAAAACCTGGTAGGAGCCGTAATCCGGGAAATCTCCATACAGAGCAGTCACATTGCCGGTTCCGTTTTGGAAGATCCATTCCCTGATCCCGGGCAAAGCGTCGGCTTTGGAGACGTTCGGATTACCACCGGTATAGGCCTTGTATAGGACGTTAGTTCGTGCTAAGTCGGGCTTTTTTAATCAGGTCTGAGAGCACGCACCGGGTTTTCGAAAGGGCCCCCGCGCCACAGGGAATCCACATTCAGATTGACAATCTCCTTGCCTGGAAGGCCGACGGGCATTGCTATCGAGCAGATTAATCTCCACATCAGGTCAGGTGCGATGAACAACAGACATACCTCCTAACCGTCCATTGCCCAGAGGAAAGGCTGTAGTGATGATACTACTGTAGTTGCCCGGAGAATCAGACCACAATGATTTGGCTGCCACTAGAGGCAGCACCAACAAACTGGAAGCGACCGTCGAACGCATCGTTTGCTGCAGCAGAACGCAAGAAACCCGAGAGTTCCGAGTGCGGATGAGGGGAAGGGTCAATTAATATCCCACGTTCAATTCAGCCGTGATGCGTCGACAACATCATCATCCTGTGGCATCCGCGGGGGATCGGACCATTCGATTTTGCGGGAAAACTAGATTAGATGCTGGCTGCAGGAGACGACCGAGAGGGGTCAGACAGTGTCATTGGAGGAGTTATCGGTGAGCAATGAATTGACCTGCAGATCGGCGCAATTGTGGCGCGGTGCTAAGCTGCTAATTCTGTGCTAAACTCGTTCACTTGCTTGCTTTTTGCCGGAATTTGGCGAGACTCCGCATTTGCATTTTTTGCTGGCAATAAAAATCCAGGGTGGTCAGATCGGTCTATTGGTAATGGCTGGTACTGCTGATACTGCTGATACTGCTATCGACTACTGTCTGTAAACCCCATGACATGTTCCAACTAGAGCCTGCTTCCTGCTGCAGTCGCATTGGCCTTTTTCCACATTTCGATCCGGCGCTCGTGGCCTGCGTTGAACAAGTCCACCCAGGATTGCTCAAACGGGGGCAATCTACGCCCCGGTTCGCCCTCTTTCGGCTCGCCTGCCAGCTGTCGCAGTTGCTCAAAGTATTCCTCGAACTCAGGATTTATCATCAAGAAGCCCGGCCCATCGCCCTTCTTTGCGATGCGATCCTGCTCCCATTTTTGTCGCTCTTCGTGCGGCGGTAGATGAGCCTTGCCTGCCAGCACCCGCGCTGCTGCCACAGCTTGCCATTCGAAGATCTTGAAAGTCAATCCGGCGCCAACCTATTACTGTCAGCAAAATTCGCCCAGACTGCCGGAGAAACACGTACGCCTCCAATAAACATTAGGGTCGGATCCTGCCGATGGAAGACATGGAGGTACACATCAGGAATGCGGTTATTTCTCATCGGGATATTGGGCAAGAATGGTAATGTCCAGGTGAACCCCGTGCCGAAGATGATATAATCGACGTCTGAGACCGAGGTCCCGTCCTCGAAGTGAACAGTGCGGTCTCCGTTCTCGCAGGAGATGCGCGCGATTGGTGGCCGCCGCTCGATCTGAGGATGCTTGAATGCTTCGTCTCCAAAGTAGGGATTGTACTTGCCGCGGACAACGGCGTAGATGGGTGATTGAGCAGAGCCGATCAAGCTAACAGCAGTGTCTGCCGCAGACACTGAGGCTCCAACCGTGACGACTTTCTGTAGACCATATTCAGCGATGCTCCCATTCATTGAATGACAGGCACACTCACCTTGCCTCGGAATTGTTCCGGACCACGATATTGTTTTGTGTGCAAGACATTCTCGGGGTACTTCTCCACAAAGTCCTTGAGACCTGGGATGGCTGGTACGTATGGTACTGCGAAATGCCCCGAGGCAACAACAAGGGCGTCAAAGGTTTCGCTCCACCAATAGTCATCTCCTCCAGGCTCTCCCGCTCGGCGGAGGGTCAAAACCCATTTGTCAGACTGAGGATCTTTCACGGCGGATTCTACAGTGGTGTTGTACTCAACCAGATCTTGGTAGCCATTACGATTGAGAAGATCTTCGACATATTGCCGAATCACCGTATGATGGCGGAACGGTGTGTCGGGCCCGTGAAGTCCAATTGACCATTCAGAGCGAACAACTGGGATCGGTTCTAGGGAATACCCCATGGTGGCAGCATCCACATTGGTATGCAGATTAGGGTAGACATGCGAGTCAGTGAAGCGATGTTGCGATGATGCCGGCGTATATTGGGGAAGACTTTCAGGGATCGGAAGCGGGGCATCAGCTATTCTGGCGGAGAGTTTCTCAACGTCCAGAGCGACCGCTTTCTCCTCTGGTCGTGCCACCCTGTTCGTAGTGTCAATTTCTCCAAAAGCCATTGAGAAGAATTAGGCAAGCGTACCAGCATCCGCCCGCCTTTTCCTGTCGCTCGAAAACACGAATTCGATCAAAAGCTTTCTCCTGCGCCAGGGCATCGACAGCAATAGCACCAGCCGGCCCCGTGCCGATGATTGCAACGCTTTTCACTTGCGGCATTGCGATGTCTAGGTGTAAACCGTAGGCCGTAAATATCTACAGCGTGTACTGGGACGGGTTGGAAGGGATCCAGACAATAACACCTTTCCAAAGAAATCAGTACAGATCAGTAAATGTTCAATGCCTGGGTGGAATGTCGCAAGGCAAAGGATGTGGCTAATCATGGCGCCGGATTGCATCAGCGTGGACCACTGATAAGCCCAAGTGAGATGGCTGACACATGGCTTATCAGACCCCAGGTCTTCTAGTTGGTTTCAAACTGACCTTATTCTCCGCTTGTTGTATGCTTCGCGACTGGTGTCTCTGGTGACTGAAACCTACCCACGGTGGCGCCTGTCGGGCAAAAAACCATTCAGTCCCATTTTTTCCATTTCCATTCTGATTGGTCGGTTTCTGGAAAGAATCACGTGTAGGATTTTGTATGCAGTGCAAAGCAATGTGATTGGATGGTAGCCGAATCCGCTCTCGGCTTAATCCCGAGCTGAGATCAACCACCAGTAGGATAGCCAGTCTGTTCTGCCGGCTCGACAACTGCTCTCGACTTCATCGAGGCAGGAAGAAATGCACATACGCAGTGAAGATCTATCAACATCATGAGAATTGACGTAAGTGTGACACAAAGCTGTGAAGGCTGCGATACGGAGACGACACCCTGAAGACGTTCGGACCAAGGCTCTGATTGTTTCAGATATGTGCTCCGGGTCGATTGATGTCACTAAGTCAATCCGCGATCTTCGGGATGCGGTGATTAGTGAAACTGTCGTCAAAGACGGCGTGACCGACTCAGGAAAAGCAAGTAGACCTGCATCGCCCCTCATCACACAGCCCTTGCAGACTGATCATTGAGGGAATTGCCATTCCAGGTAATACTGACGAACACATCATCCTCAAGGCAGTTGCCTCATGCATGGATATGAAATGGTCAGATGCATGTGCTTTTAGCCGAAGGTATGGTTTACTGTCTGTGTCTCGCGCCGGGTCAGCACACTCTGCTGGAACTGCCTGGAGCTGTTTGGCAAGATTATGGCGCCATATCACGGCTGCAATGGATCTCGATCACGAATCGAAACAGGATATTCTAACGAGTGTCGAATACAGTGAGGTTCGACCCATTGTGTAGTGATAATCCTTGAACCAGTCGTTAAGGCGTGTTCCAAGCCGTAAGGTGGAGGCCGATCGCTACCTGTAACGACGCGAAACTCCTCGAAAGTTTAAGACTCGATGCTCTCCACCAACGCTCAAAATTGGACTCATTGCATTGCTGACCGTCCATGGAGACAGGGTAGACAGGCCCAAGAAAAGCGAGATCATGGTGCTTGGCCAGGAAGCTTGTTGACAGATGACATGCTTGTTCTTCGGTGGAATAGGTAGGAAATGCTGTACTTTCTCCAATCACTTGGTCACAGTTGAACGGTGTAGGTTGGGCCCGTTGTAAACCTAATCTTTGCAGGCCACTAGCGAACCCCAAAAGATTCCCTGTTTCATCTAGAAGATTTCCTTAGTCGGCCATAGATAACCATAATGAGGGAAGCTCCAGGAGTCTGATACTGTATGATGTATATTGAACACAATCTGCCTCTGGCCTATGCAGTTCAAGGCCGAGTCCCACTGGCTTTAGCGAAGGGTAGGAGGTAGATACCAAAAACAGGGGAATTTGCGGGTTGTGGAGGATAATCCCACAATCACTGGCATTATAGGACAACCCCACAAGAGTCGTATCAAGGAAGGATGATTGCCACCTTGAGAGGGTGGAGTAAGTAGAGATGCGGAGGGACAGCAAAAGGCGGAGGGTGAGAAAGATTACTGCCTCAGGGTCCAGGCAACCATCGGCTCTGATTTTCACCTCCACCACTCCGCTGTTCTTCCGCTGTTCTTCCGCTCTGCTTCCGCTCCGGGTCGAGATCCACTGCACTTGTCTCTTTTTTGGGTCTTGACCACTCAATCTCTCACAAAACCACTGGAACAAGAACTCAAGATCGTCGTTCCTGGAATTCCCATGGCTCTGCCCTAGGTGCTAACATCGGGCCCGTTCGATCGATCTTCTCGGGCCTGAAGTGACTTTATCCACTACCTACAGTTCTACCCACCACTGGCCCATCGACTTTGTTCGCCTGAAACGCCACGGTGGATGACATGCAACGGTCCGTGATACTTCGCCAGCCCTTGTCGTTTTAAGAGTCTATGACAGTGTTGTGAAACATGAAGCTCTGAAACTCAAGACTCCCTCACCGACACTGATAACATTTTCTGGACTTCCCTACCTCATCCTTTTGTGCAGCCCAAACTCAAGATGCAGTTGAGGCGATGACCTAGGTGGCACCATTGGAGAAGAGGACGACGCGTCGTGCAAGGCGCTGCTGCATTCTCCGGTGCAAGGCAAAAGATCCATGGACGACTGAAGCAGCGATCAAGAGGATGCTGCGAGCTCTGCAATTGATTGGTCGGCGGCTATCTATCTCCGATTCGGAGCTCCACCGACAACCATCGCAGCTCACCTTAATCCAAGGGCTGAATGGGGTGAGTTTGGGGTTGACCCATCTAGGCCGAGAAAATCCCCAAGTTCCTGCAAGTCTCTACGCCTCTGACCGAAGGCCCTGAGCACCCACAGGTCCTGTCGGCAACCCGACTTGTTCTTCATTGGCCAGCAGTGCGATAACGTCTGCGATGGGCGTGCCCTACTTGAGCCCTTGCGTGCTTAGAACAAAACCTCGTTTTTGGGCCTTGCGACCTGTCACGTCATTCTAGCTTCGAACCATCGGAAGGAATCCGGGACTCACCATTGTTTCGCAATAGTGAGATCCGTATTGCCTTCATGGTCCCTGGCAGATTGTCACGACTTGCAACTTCGGCATATCGAAGTCATTGTTTAGCTGCGGGGCGAGACCCATCCGCTCAGACTTCCCTTGATACAATCAGAACGATATCGGCATGTGCATGAAGAAGTCATCGCTGCCAATTGCCGGCTGTAGACCTGGACCGTAGATTCCAGTTGGGGAATAATTGTTTGTTGATCCTTCACTTTCAGCACAGCATGATGTTCCACCAAGATCTATAAAGGATCCTTGAAATCCCCTCCGGATATGTCTTTTGCTATCAGGCTTCAGTGCTCTCTCGATCGAATCCGGTACTCATTCACTTCTTCCATTTCCCATCACTTTCGCTTCTACTTTACTTCTTCGCTTTAACCAGCAATCTTTCAACATGAAGCTTCAGAACGTCGCTCCTCTATGCCTTGTGGGCTACGCCCTGGCCTTGCCCGCGAACGTCGATAAGAAGAGACAGGATCTCTCCGACCTTCCTCCTATTCCAACTGGGCTTGTGCCATCTGGGCTTATTCCCTCGGGGCTTCCAATCCCTTCACAGGGTCCAGGATCCGAGCTGCCCACACTCACTGTTCCCTCAGGCTCGCCCGTCGAGAAGCGCCAGGACTTGACCGACCTTCTCCCCTCGAGCATTCCTCTTCCCTCTGGTTTGACGGAGATTCTGTCCCAGCTGGGTATCACCCTTCCTTCGGATATTCCTCTCAAGAAGCGCCAGGACCTGTCGCAGATTTTCCCCTCCGGGGTTCCGATCCCATCCGCAGTGTCCAGTATCCTGTCCGACCTGGGTATTACCCTCCCTTCCGATATTCCTCTCAAGAAGCGTCAGGAACTCGAGTCCCTTCTTCCTTCTGGCACCCTCCCCTCTGGTCTGCCCATCCCTAGCGGGGTGAACGATATCTTGTCCAACCTCGGAATCACTCTACCCTCGGACTTGCCCATCAAGAAGCGTCAGGACCTGTCTAGCATCCTCCCATCGGGCCTTGCGATCCCATCCGGAGTGACCGACATCTTGTCTGACCTGGGTATCACTCTTCCTTCGAACTTGCCTCTGAAGAAGCGCCAGGACTTGGACTCGCTGATTCCCTCTGGCATCCTGCCCTCCGGCCTCCCGATCCCCACTGCAGTCACCGGTATCCTGTCCGACCTGGGTATCTCTAAGCGTGACGACAAGGAGCCCGAGGCCGTGCCCACCGGTGGATCCGCCTCTACCAATGCCACCCAGCCCAGCAGCAGCAGCCTTCCCAAGCCCACCGGTATTCCTGTGCGGCCTTCCAGCGGCGGTGTCGTCGAGCCCCTTGTTGACGCCTCCAAGTCAGTTCAGAACTCGACTAAGTCCGCCAGCGGCGGCAGCTCTGCTCAGCCTTCTAGCGCCGCCCCTCAGGCTACTGGCACTCCTCTTGCTCCCTTCCCCGGCTCCCCTGAAATCCCCGCTGCCTCCCCCAGCTCCTCCGCTTCGGTCCGCAGCGCTTTCCCCTTCCAGGCTTGAATGAAAGAACCTACGGAGTAGGGTTCACAATCCCGCAACGGTATCACAACCTAAGATGATTGCAGTCCAAGGGTGATATTCAACATACCGTTTGCATGACTCCACGTGTATGAATCGAATGGTGGATCTCGGCTGGCCGGCGTTTCTTGTTTGTCTACGGCCATGGATTATCTGATGGGATGGGGTCTGCTTGTATCAGAATATGCTTAGATAGTTTTGGTTTCCAATGGAGTCTTTGTTGCGTTATCTGACTAGTCTCTTGTTCCGCTGACCGCTGCTGCAACGATGGCTCTGTACACAAGTGCGATACACATGATTGTCTTTCAGACATCGTTCTCCCAACATCATCGTCAATACCTTCAAGTGTCTCATCCAGGTGATTCTCTTTTGGATCGCCCCTCCATAATGGGGTTTGCCTTTTGTTTGTGATTCCTCTGTCGTATGTCGCAAGGATATTTATCACAAGGTTGTTTGTTCGTCAAGAATATTCCCATTCCAGTCGCATTCCAGTCGCAACCGTTCTGTCACATCGACATGACATCGTCCCTCCTTCGATCATCGCCATCGTGACGTTTCACCTCCCCAAAAAAGTTTTCTTCATCTTCAGACTCGAGCAGCCTGCTCCGTCCGATCCTGCAACGTAGTGGCCGCCGTCATCAGCCGCTCTGCCTGATTCGACACAACATACCACGCATCCTGGTCAAAACGCGGCTCCGCACTCAACGCCTCAACAATCCGTCCAATACTCGCCGCCATCCGCTCCATCTGCTCCACGGCGAACGAGCAGTACATGTCGATTTGGAGCGCTTCATGGTGCGTATCACATCCCCTACTGAAGAAAGCCCGATGCAAAGACTGGTAGAACAGCCGGTATCGCTCGATCGCCTCGCTGCTGAGCCCATGCAGCTGCGCCATGCTCGGCAGTTCGTGGAGGCAGGCCTCACACCGGCTCATGCCCTCGAGCAGGTGGAAGACGTATTCGATGTCGTCGGCCCGGAACTGTATTCCTTCGTTGGTGGGGTACGGCCCCCGGAGATGATCGCGCAGCCGGTCGCTCTTGATCTGCAGGCACATGCAGGACACGGGCTGGCCGCTGCAGAATGCATCGAGGATGAGTTTTGCGTAGTTCGGCTGGCAGTACAGCTCTTTTGGGCTGGCTGTGCAGGTGGAGGCTGAGCTTGCCAGGGCGGCTGTTTCGTCGTTGTTCTTTTCGGATTGAGATAGAAGAGTAGAGGCCATTTGGACTTGTGGGTGATGAGGTTCCATCGCTGATGCGAGGAAGGCCACGCTTCGGGATTGCAGCTTTGAGATCAAAGCTTTGAGAGCCTTGCGGTTCATTCTGTGGATGTGAGGGGTTTTTGAAGAGAGCGTTGAGGGGCGTGAGAGGAGCTTGAAGATTGAGAAGCTTGGAGTTTTTGCTTGAAGATCTTGATAGTTTTGCTTGAGGAGCTTGATGCTTTTGAGGAGCTTGATATTTGGAGGAGCTTGAAGATTCGCTCGACTCAGTGGTTTTAGTGGTTTTTTGGTTGTGCTCAACTCGGTGATCTTTTTTATGAAGATCTGCTCGACTCTGAGGTTTTTTTGAGGTAGGGGTGAGGGTTTAGTAAGGTCTGGAGAAAATCAAGGGAGTGGTAGGAGAGAAGAAAATTTGACGAGAGCAAGAGAAAGAGAATTACACAGCGTTCCCCCTGAAGTGGGTTGATTGTGAGGTGAACTTGACTCTATACTGACTCTATACTGACTCTATACTATTGTCATACCGGAAGTGTGTTCCGTGTAGAAGCATCTGCGGTTAAGGGATCGCGCCCTGCGTTGCAACAGGTGCACTTCCGCAATAACAGTAGCATTATTACTGAGCAAAAGAAAGCCTAGTATTCATGGAACTGTGCATAAGCTTTTCCTATGTCGTATGTATAGGATAATAGGACACTAGGTGGCCAAGGAGATGTAGCTAATGCTGCGATATCCATTTCCAATTTACCCTCCCTGGCCACCATTGTTACAACTCTCTGAAATTCATAAGCAGCCACATCTAGAGAGTGCGTTTTACAAGGTTGTAATATAGAGGCAGTCTGCACCTTAAGCAATGTTCCTTCGAGTGGCCGTATCTTGTATGGGTAAGATGATGTATATAATGCCAAATTACAGCCAGATCTACTTCTGCTTCTAGCAGTGGAGCGAGGAGAAATGTAAAAATCGTGGCCACGGAGGGGAAGTTCAATCTCGATCAAAAACCCGTGGATCTTGTTGTATTTAAAAATCTCGTTGCCAAAGCTAACAGGTGAGCAGCACACTGCGGGGATGAATCCAAAGATAAAATCAAAACTAGAACTAGAATCCTAAATATCGGCCGTGAGGCCTGGGTGGCTGTTTGCTCACTACGGCCGTCCCAAGGATCATCAAGTCTGGGGTGGTACTGGACAATACATAGTAGATTGAAAGATGGACGGGGGGGAAAGTTTGAAGACATGTTGTGAGAAAGGAACAAGTGCATTGTTTGGCGACAATCTTGGTTGGGAGTGTAGAAAGACAGATGATCTCATAGTCTCATGCTAAAACCCACAGTGGGTGGAATGGCGGGGCTACAGGGCTGAGCCTGAAGTCTTAAGAGACTTACAGCTGGGACACGCGTCAACCATTGATTATTATTCCCCCCTGCAGTCAAGCCAATTGCTGCTGCTGATCCCGCGGTCTTTATTTTCTCCTCCGCCCGATTTCCCCTCTCCGTCGCTCGTCACTCTCACTTGGTCTTACCACTTGATCTCCTCATCCATCATCCTTTCTCTTTCTCCCTCTCCCTCTTCTCCATTCCTCCACCTCTCCTTCTCTCCCCCTCACTATCTTCTGCATTTTAGACATCTTTTCTCTTCGTCCAATAGCTTTTCATTCTCCCTTTGCACAGCTTGAACGAGTTCAATAGAAAGCTCTTTTTCCGCTCTCGCACCGCCTCAGCGCCCGCCCTCAGCAGACGTCACACACCCCACGGAACCTTGGCGATTAGGCAGACGTTTTCCTGTGTTTTTTTCCACCTTCTAGAAGTTTTCGAAGCTATTCTTACATATAATTGTGACCCTGATCTTTCGAGATACAAAGTCGGCCCATTATCGTTTCCTGGTGACAGGAATTAATCTGGACTGTCGCTCACGATGGCCGCAACGAACTCCGCCCCTCTTGTTCCTAACGGAACCCAGTCGGTCGGCCTCGCGACCGACTCACCCTCCACCACGACCACTAATACCTCCACAAGCCAAATCTTGACTGGGAAGCAAGAACATTGTTAGTACCTGTCGCAGCACCCTGCGGACATGATTGCTGACGGTCGCAGATCTCAAGCGCGAACTCATCGCCCGACAAGTCCAGAGCGAAATCGCCGAGCTGAACTCCCCTACAGCCCTGCAACGCTTCGGCGCCCCCTTCAAGTCGGAATTCGGTGAAGTTGCTCCAGTCGATTCTGAACTCCCCATCCTCCGATATATTTTCGTGCACCATGTGCGCAACTTCCCATTCCTGGATAAGGCTCGTGAGAAGGAATTCTGGCAAGATAAGCTTCAAGTGGTGCGTATATTCCTCACCATAGAGCCCCGATCCTATAATGCGAAGCGCTAATCGCAAGGTTGTAGTTTCTCGAGTCGTTCGCAAAGAAACATGTGTCTTCGTCGGAGGATCGCCTGGAAGAGACGAAGCGCAGAAAGCTGGCGCGCAAATGCGAAAAGCTGGTCGAGCTAATGATGGTTTCTGGAATCCCTACTGCATCGGGCTATGAAGAACGCATTCAGTTTTCGGAGATGGAAGTCGTGGATCGCGGGGCCAACGAAAAGGGTTTGTTGGTCAACATGCCTGAAGGAAACTCAATTCACGGATGGGACATCAATGTGGCTGCGGTCCGGGTTACATCGGTCAGACGGACTGTGCGATATCACCAACACGCAGTATGTTCAGAGAAATCTTCGAGCAACTGAAGAACATCACTAACACATTTATGATCAGGAGTTCATTATTCGGGTGCGCCGAGATGGGAAGCAAGATACCTTCGTGGCTCGTCGATACGGCGACTTCTCTAGGCTGCACAAACGGTTGCGCACTGAGTTTCCCGGGAAGCCACTGCCTCCGCTGCCACGCAAGAACAAGTCTTCATTGACATCCAGCATATTTGGCTCTGCAGACGACGAAGCCTCATCGATTTCGTCTGTTTCCACTCAAGACACGAGCGCAGTAGACGACGGCTACTCATCTCGCAACCTAGCGCCCGGCAACCACCATACTCGTTCACTGTCACGGTCTTCCATGCGGTCGCTCCGGTCGCCTCGGGCCTCCGGAGACGCGCCCCGGGAAACGGTGCTCTACAGAGAGGAACAGCGAGTCTCCCTTCGAGCGTTTCTGCGTACTCTGCTACAGAACAAGCGGGTGGCGGACACCAAAGCTCTCGAGGACTTCTTGACTGCTAACCCGATTACTCTGAATGAAGAGGAGAAACTGGATATGCAGAAGCGCAAAGAGGTAGATGCTGTGCGGATTGAGGAGCAGAAGCGGTTTTATGAGATCGCGAGAGCGCGGGCGGCTGAGTTGGACGCGTACATGGAGAATTTCCGCCGGGATATCGTCGAGAGTAGTAAGTCGGGTCTGTATCCTGCTCAAGTGCTACTATACTGATTCAGTTTTAGATGGATTGACGAAACTCTTTGCTGAAATCAAGGAGAAGCCGACAGTGGAGGATTTGAGCCCACAATACCAGAAATTCGCCGAATGGCTACGCATTGAAGTTGCCGCTACGCTCTATCATCTTTTCCTGGCCGAGGACAATTCTCCTGAACTGTTCGCGCAGGCCAAGAGGATCCACTCTCTTGTCCCTTATAGTCTTCTGAAAAATGTAATTCGCATTGCCAACCCGGCAGCTGTGATGTCAGGAGTACTGGACCTCTTCCTGGCTCAACCTTTTGGCTCCCGGTCCCTACTCCAACGCATATTTTCTATGACTTTGCACGACGGGATCAGAGCTTTCCAGAAGTCGATCGATGCGCTGGCCGCGACGGTTGAAGATCCTGTCCTTTGCCAAAAGTTGAAGGCATTCACCGACGCCGACGAAGACTTGAAGAATGAGATTCGCGCCGAAGCCACCGCAGAGGATGTTGACATCATTGTGGCAATTCTCAAGACGGAGCTTATCTCTCCTGAGTTGACCCCAGAACAGTTTGGTAAAGTTTTCAATGCCTACGTTGCCTGGAATCAGGCTGTCGAGAGTGTTGACGCGGAAATGCGAGAAGGCGCTCATTGGTTTGCCAATCTGAAGCAGCTGCTCAAACTCTACACCCGCCAGCGGGACAAGACTATGATGCTCAGCATCGTGGAGGAGCCGGTTACTCTGCAGCTCTTCCGCGACCTCTTCACGATTTTCTACGAGCCGCTCGTGAGGGTCTACAAGTCGGCCAATGTCTACAACAGTATCACAGACTTCGCACGCTTCGCGGATGACGCCATCGCCGTGATCGAAAAGTGTTATCGACAGGATGTGTCTGCCGACCCCAACCAGACTGTTCAAGCCTTCATTGATCTTTGTGAGCGCCACCAAAGCAGCTTCTACAAGTTTGTGCATGAGGTGCACTTACATGACAACGGTCTGTTTGGATCCCTTATGGCATGGATCGAAGACATTCTTGAATTCCTGCGCAAAGGACCACGTGGTGGCAAGCTAGACATGAATGCCCTACTCACAGGTGCAAGGGATGTGGGCCAGATCGACAAAGACAAGGCATTGGATGAGATTAACGCTCTTATCAAATGGCATGCCGATCGGAAACGGTGGCACCTCAATAAGACCAGACAGAAGATGGCAGCTGAGGGAACTGGCAATGAGATCATCCCTGGTAGCACGACCTTCAGGAGCAGTGACTTTGGTTTGGATGAGGTATGAGGACCCCTGCGTCAGTTGAGGAGGCAAGTAGTGCATTAGCTAACCAATGGTTCCTTTAGGCCGATCTTGAGGACCTTGCCATTTCAGACGAAGAGTCTGACGCGTCCGATGAGTTGGATGACGAAGATGATCTCGATCCCATCACGGCTGAGCGGAGACGTCGGGTCAAGAAGCAGGATCAGCTCCGGCGTACGGCGGGAGAGCCCGTCAAGCCGGAGATCCAGGAGATACTCAAACTATCTGAGTCGTTTGGTGTTATGTTGCGACAGGTGCTTGCGGATTAGATGCACATGCATTGTTAAGATACCCTAGAGTCTCTAGATCACTCATACACAGCGTTTATATAGTTCTGGTTGTTGGCATTCGGGCATGGGTTATGTATCGAGTGGAGTAGGTAGGGAAGTTCTTACATGGGTCAAGACTAGCTTGATACTGTGTCTTCACATAGCTATAGTAATCTTAGTATACTTCCATAATTACATGAAGAATTTTACCGAAAAGCACTGGATTCAGACTCCGAGGGCGGTTGGAATAAAGTGGGAAGCGGGCCGGCGGATCAGTGAATCAGTGAAACGATCCGTAGTGAATCAGTATCCGAGACTTCAGTTTCCATGGCGACAATCTTTGACAGGGGCCACTATACATCCATACATAGACTAGGAGTTAGTTATCATCCTCTCCTGCGTACTACTTATATGTCTGCATCTAATCACCTAGCACCTGACCCAATACGCCCAATACACTTCTTGTCGACATCCTAGCCATGATTTCCCCGTCGCCGCGCAAGGCTATTCGCCTCAATGGGCTTTTTGTGGAGGGGATGTGGCACTGCAATTGTCCTGTTCGAAAGCCTGCGAACAAGTTCCAGTGTAAGAATCACGGAACAAACCATGGTCGATACTGTATGCTATACCCCTCTCCTTTTCCTCGACTTACCCAGTCTTGCGATTGACAAAGCGACTGAGCGACTAATCGCGGGCGCTGCCCCTCCTTCTTTTCTGCCTCTCCGCAGTTTACACATGCGAAAGCAAGAAATGCGACTTCTTCCTCTGGGCCAGCGACGCCGAGCTGCGCGAGAAAGCCACCGTCCTCTCCAATTCTCGATCGGAGCCAGATCCTGCAACGGCCCAGACTCCGACCAAGAGACCTCGAGTATACAACGGTCTCCTCACCCCACAGACAGAGCCGCGCATCCATCGCCACAGCCCCGCAACGGGCGGCGGGCAGCAGAAGCAGCAGCAGCAGCAGCAGCAGCACAGCCACATGTTCTCCAGAAGCGCTAAGGCGCGCATGATGTCAGAAGACATCGATGAATTCGAGTGGGACGACGAGGTCGGGGCCGAAGTAGGCAAACTGTTGGACGTGAAGCCAATCCGCCGGCCCAACTTCGGACCTCCCAAAGCCCACCAGGGTCCAGCTCCTCGCGCTCACCAGCCGCCGCCGTCCTTGACATCTCCGGTGAAGAGAAAGTGGTCGGACACGGAAGATGATCATGAGTCTAAACTCGGCCGTCATACTTCGACCGCCTCATTCGCGCAAGTCACACCCCGCTCGCATACCGACCGCGTCCCATCCTTCTCGTCGGCGACCGCGGCGCCGCCCTCGTCCATGGAGATTTCAATGTCGCCGACCCCGACTCGGTTTCGGGATGCTATGGCTGGGGGCGATGAGACGCCGCTGGACGCATCGCAGCTGGCTTCGCAGGCCGTCCGGATCTTGGAGGGTCATCGAGTAGCTCTTCCCAAGCAGGCACAAGAGGAGCTTATGTCCCTGCTTGATAAATATGATCTGAAGATGAAGGGGATTATCCGGGGACGAGACATCTCGCGCGTGGCGTTGAAGAAGAAAGATGAGCAGATTGAGGAGTTGAACGCGCGACTTGCGAAGCTGGAGGGACGGAGATAGGGGAACGCTTTTGTCTTTGCAGGGATATATGATACCATGTTTCGATGTATTTTCTTTTACTTTCTTTTACTTATTTGTCCGTGCTCTTTCTGGCTCGGTGCTACGCTATAGCTCTGCGCGGACCATAATGTCTCTTAGTCTGCTGTGCGGACGTTGACTTGACTACTGTGTTTATGAATGGCCCGATAAGCGAATGTCCCTATTCGTCATTGACACAACTGTATTCTACTGAGTTCACTACGATCGATTCATGATCGCATCATGTGATTGTGAGGCATATTGATCTTATCCCCATCACGTGCTGATAAGCGGGCCTCTACAGTCTCGACTCCATGATTTGAATCGAAAAAAAGTTACGCCTAGAAAGCCTCCGACCGCGCGATTACCCCACGATCGGCCAATCTTACACGATCAATGTCCAGCAGACCTCCGAAGCGCATCAAATCGCAGCATCAATCCACCTCGACTCCGATGTCCAAGGAAACTGACTCCGAGACGAAGCCGGTTCGCAGCGACATCCCCGCCATGTTTCGGCCCCCCGTGAATCGCGCCATGCGCGTGCTGGACCGGTCGTTCTTCAAGCGAACGGTGCCGGTCTCTGCTGCCACGATCTTTAAGACCTCGGATATTGCGACTGTGCGACAAGCACTGCACAAGAAGCGCGACTTGTTGGCGCTGCCCAGGATGGCCACGCTTCGGGATATCAAGCAGGATGATGCCGTGCGCAAATGCCTGTTGCTGCGGGAGGAGATCAAGCATGACGGTCAATCCATCTTCTCTTTGATGTAGAGCAACGAACTGATAGAAGGCTTAGATACGGCGACCTGGTCTCCTACCGTGTCCGAATTGGTTGAGAAGGGCATGGTGAGCGTTGGCCCTTACGATTTGACGATTGACTATGACTACTGGTCCTATGGTACATAACAATTCCACCCACCCCGATGTGCAATTTTTGTGGACTAATCTCCTCCCAGCCGACATCATGGCATCCATTCTCCCCGAAGAGCTGTGCGATGAAATCCCCCAGGGCTTCACCCAAGTCGGACACGTCTGTATGTACTGGCTCCCACCGCCAGCCAAGCCGTTCGTGCCCGTAATTAACCATTCTACCCAAACCAGCCCACCTCAACCTGCGCGAACAATACCTTCCCTACAAACAGATCATTGCCGAGATTCTCTTGGATAAGAACCCCACCGTGAAGACGGTGATCCGCAAGACCGACGACGTCGGCTCCCACAGCCAATTCCGCACCTTCCCCTTCGAGCTGCTCGGGGGCGTGAATGACCTGAACGTCATCCAACACGAACAGAACTGCGAATTCCGGTTCGACTACTCGCGGGTGTACTGGAACAGCCGGCTGGAGACGGAGCACCGGCGGCTGGTGGACAAGTTCCGGCCCGGGGAGATGGTCTGCGACGTGATGGCGGGCGTGGGCCCCTTCGCCGTGCCGGCGGGCAAGAAGAAGATCTTCGTCTGGGCCAACGACCTCAACCCGCACGGGTACGAGGTCATGCAGGACGCGATAAAGCGCAATAAGGTCGACAAGTTCGTGACGCCGCACAACCAGGACGGGCGCGACTTCATCCGGTCCTCGGCCCGCCGGCTCCTCGAATCCCCGCTCACTGTGACCATCGAACCCAAAGTCCGCCGCAGCCAGAAGGACACCGCGCCGCCGCCGGAGGTGTTCCACCGCCCCACCGTCTTCCAGCACTACGTGATGAACCTGCCCGGCAACGCGATCGAGTTTTTGGACGCCTTCGTCGGGGTGTACGCGGGCGAGGAGGCGCGGTTCGCGCCGCACACGGAGCAGAAGCTGCCGAAGGTGCACGTGTATTGCTTCTCGGGCCATTCCGAGGACGAGCACCACGACCATGTGGATATCTGCCAGCGCATCTCGGAGCGCATTGGGTTTGAGATCACGACGGAGGACCGCGTCGGGGGCAGTGGCCGGCAGGAGCTGGAGCTGGCCATCCACAACGTGCGGTTGGTGAGTCCCAACAAGCAGATGTTCTGTGCCAGTTTCCGCCTGCCGGAGGAGGTGGCCTTCAAGAAGGTATGACCTGTCGCATGGAGACTGGGTCCGGCGGACTGTCTACCGTTGAAACACATGATACTCGTGGTATATTGCATAGCCTACATGTATACAGGGCGTTGGTTTCGATTAGAGAGTGTAGAAAGAAGTTCCTGAAAACACAGTACAATGTTAAAAATGATACCCTACACATTGTTCCTTTACTTCATGCATGACCATGCAAAAAATAGCCTCGCACAACATTGTGCATAAATATTCCCGCCAAAAGAAACAGTATAGTTCACCTAGTCCTGTGTTCTTGTTATCTCACCTAGTGGTCGATAATGGTAGTGATAATGATAATGATAACGGAGAAAAAACCACGCCTCACCGCCCCCCCGCTCTCTCCGCCCACAGCAAGCTAACTTACCGCCCTCACCTCACCTCAACCTTTGTCCGTCCGAAAAGAAACTCGGCACCGTCAACACCTGAACCCCAACATCCCCAATTCAAAGCGCACCTGACCCGACCGAATCGAATACACTACACTACACTGCATCACAAACCACCGACTTCATCAGCATCATCGGGTACGAGTTACGAACCGCAGCTACGAATCGCGACTAGACCAAGACAAAAGGAAGAATAATCAGCTAGCAAAGCCGAAAAAAAATGAGCTTCCAACTCCCCGCCCCCACGCACCGCAAGCGCACCCTTCCGCAGGGTGAACTCGAGGCGGCGTCGACGCTGCGCCTGGGCGCGGATCAGAACACCCATACGCTGTCGTTATCCGAGGCGCGGTTGGTCATCAACAAGGTGTTGGAGAATAAGCGGCGCGGGGGGAAGAAGTATGAGGAGCCTGAGTGAGTTGCATCTTTTTCTATCTTGGGGGGAGGGGGGCAGGGTATAATTTGGACTGGACTGGGGTGTATTAAGTTCGAGGGGTTTAGAGGGTTGTCAATGGGGGTGGATGTGTCGAGTTTGGGATTCAATCGTTGATGGAGGGAAACCGAACTACGCGTACCGCAACAAGGCTAACTGATGTGACCATCTCCAACCAGAAACCTGACCAAGACCCTAGACTACCTGGAGGTGTTTGCGCGGTTCAAGGACGAGGAGAACATCAAGGCGGTGGAGCGGTTGCTGAACTCGCATACGGAGTTGGAGATGTTTGAGCGGTCGCAGCTGGGTTCGTTTCCCTCCTTTGTATTTTGGGAAAAACCTGGGGCAGCGAGGCAGTACTAACGGTTCCGTCCGGTGCACAGGCAGTCTCTGCTGCGATAATGCGGAGGAGGCGAAATCGCTCATCCCCAGTCTGCAGCATAAGATCTCGGATGGGGATCTGCAGGAGCTGTTGGATGAGTTGACCAAGTTGCGGAACTTCACGGAGTGAGTGTGATTTTGGGTGATCTGCTTCCCGGGTTATGGGCTTGAAAGGTTGGGAGGAAGGGAAAGGGAAATTCTAGCATGGAGTTCTGGTGTTGTTTTGTCTTTTTGTGTCCTGTTATTGATGTGTTTGGGCAGTGGGAGGGGGGGTAGGTATCGTAGAGGGATTTGTTTATGGCCGGGGGAATGATGTCGTCATGGGGTTTGTAGACTACTCCTAGGTTGAGACTCGTACAGTGTACGGTAGATGTGATGTACTCGAGTATGCCCACGGAAATCTCTTGAAAGGCGATCGCATCTTTCGGAAAGTCAATAAAATCGCCTGAGGTCACACCAAGCCAATAAGAGGCGTGATATAGTCTTCAAGCTCATGAGATAATCAGCGTACTAGAAGTTACTTTGTGGTTGAGTACTTGATTATCAAGTCCAACCAGGCATCGGGACGAGGCAGTTGGCTGAAACTTGGGCAACCAGCCCCAAACTCCAAACTACCGATTTGACTCGGACGAGAAATTGAGTCATCCTCCTGGTCATTAAGTAATGAGAATTGGAACCGGGGCATGTGTCGCAACTCCGGGGGAAACTAAAGAGGGAGCTAGACCCTAAGTTCTACTCCGAGTAGGTTAGTATACGCATACTTCGTATTAGGCCATAAGTGATTGTCTGATTCTTGTTCCCCAGAACAACAGAAACAAAGCGAGAAGGTGGTCAGACACAATCAGACACAACGACCGTGCGAGATGCCCCCTGCGCTGCTGGGGGGAGAAGAGGTCAGATCCATCCTCAGCCACGGAGTCTGTGTGTCAAAGTATAAGTATAAGTAGGAAGGGGGATTTGACTACCGACTACGGGGACAATGTTAGAGTTGGTGGTAGTATGGTCTATTCTAGGTTACTGGGAGTGTGAGTGACTGATGAATTAAGGTAACTTACTGTGTACACAGTACAGTTCTCGGACAGCTCTCCTCCGGCCAGCATTTTCATTATTAAGGACTGGCGGCAGAGCTGCCCAAGGACGCGGTCATCCACCAATCATCCGCGGGAGAGATGCATTCCAGTTCATTACTTTTCATTTTACCTACTGTAGGTATTTTTAAGTTAAGGTACCTTTGGTCATTGCAGTGCAGTTCCAAGCGCATGCATTTGTTGGTCAGTGGTCAGTGGTCACTGGTCTGGTCGCCGGGTTTGGCGTCTGGCCGGCGAAGCCTGGAGGGCTGTGGGGAAAGAAAAGCCGCCGCTGCAGGGCCGATCCCCGTTGCCGGTCTGCCGCTATCCCCCTTTGGGTTCTCTACTGTCTGTCTGATTGGTGTCTCAATGGCGTTATCGGGATGATGTGATTGGAGGCTCTGCTGAGTAATGCAGGTTTCCCGACAGGCGCACCAGTCACAATCCCCCCTCCTCTTTCCCCGGCTCAGTCAGCGCGGTGCTCTCGTGCTTAAGTGCTTAAGTGCTTAGTGTCGGAGGGAAGCAGATCTGATCAATTGGGAGATAGTACAAAGCAACGCAACTGCCCCTGCCCTGGTAGATACAATCACTAGGTATTCTGATCAGTCAGTAGTAAGAATCACATCTAAACCTTTAGCCACGAGCCGTGAAACGGTCAACCACAACTTCCTCCATGGGGTGGGAGAGGATTCCAGTACGTAATACCAAGTCCCCCTCGGTTGCCCCCCCAGACCACCAGATCCAATCACGCCCGCCCGGCTTATCGCTTCCAGCAGTCGAAGGGCGCAGGAACTGGCGGCGAACAACTTACTGTTACGTGTGGGAAATGCTCTCGATGGAGAGAGTCGGATCCCTCCTCGCTGATCGATCGCTTCAACCGGAGATTCTCTTATTGATCCTGATGACTACCGCAATTTGCTGCGCAGAGTCATTCTGTCATGGCCAGTATATTACTATGAGTCCCCATGGCTGGGGGAGAGGGGGCAAATTCAAGAGAATCCCATCTCCATCACTTGGGAACTTTCCTTTTTCTTTTGCAGTTTGGCAGGAGAAAAGAACCAAAGAAAGAAACCGGATTCCTGGTGGATGCTATAGGTTATATACTATCCAAGTATCTGGGAATCCGAAACAGGAACAGTGTGATTGACTACACTACCTACTTACTCCAGCCTTCAGACTACTACCTACTATCTATTCTCAGCTCAGCTCAGCCCAGTCTATCCTCCCTGATTATCTATGATTGATTATCGATTTCAATTATCATCATCATTGTCGTCACCATCTTTTCAATAAGATTTACTGTTGTGGTTCCTCTGCCTGTCCTCCCCGCCGGCGCTCCCTCGCGCCTTCCCAATTGAGTTGCTCCGGTTCCGCTCCAGGCTCTTGCCTGAAGTGATCAATCAGTGTTGTAACTCACTCACTCACTCACTCACTCACTCTCCCTCCCACGCTCTTCTCCAACTTCTCTCTTACTTTCCTAACCCACTCACCCTCATTCTTCTTCTTTGTGTTTTCTATTCTACCACCACGCTATTACTTGTGATCCCCTGCTCGCTTCATCAGTTGCGCCCCTCCGTCACTCCGACGACACCAATTGAAATCCGTTGCTTGGTTGTCCGGTTATTTTCCCTGATAAGCTTCTCCGCTGCGGTTCGTACTTGGCCCCCCCGTCAAGCCCCGGCAGCTATTGGTCGGTGCGTTGGACTATCGCCCGCCGCTCTCTTCCCTCCCCCCCCCCAAAACGGCAGGAATACCGATTCCCTCCAGGCGAATCCTCACTACCAACCACCACGGCGTCAGCATTATTCCCCCAGATAATCCCCTGCTCGGGGATCAGACATCAGACAGGGACTCCGGCCTGACTACGAGTCAGCCATCCCTCTAGATTGATCTTCCGTCCCTGGGTTTGCGGAGCCCTGTAACGGCGGACGTTCCGGGTCGCCCCGGTGTTATTTACGTGACCCGAGTCGCTATCGTGCAGTATTATTATCATTTGTATTCTCATTATTACTGCCTATCTGCGATCAACCATTCGTGAGATTGGCACACGATCTATCGCCTATCTCTCACCTCCCACTCCTCCCCTGTCTGATTTCTCCCCGTATTCCCCCGGACCTATCTCCGTGGGCTGGCCTATCGCCCTATCAACTACCTGGCGCTCGACCTGCCCATTCCTGCCTTCCTGAATGGCTGCTGTTATCACCCTGCAGTCGTCCTCGACGACTGGCCCAACAGGCCCTTCAGCAGCTTCTTTCCAACAATCCCCTTCCTCTGACCACCAACTACTTCGTCCCCGGATCCCGCAGTCCTCCCAAGTCCAACAAACACCTACCCCCCAGCCCGGTTCTCTATCTACGCCACACTCGCCTGCATCTTCCGTGGGAACGCTCCCTCGTGTCACCGCGCCAGGCCGGGATGGGTCGAGTTGTGACGCATGCGTGCGCAGAAAGAGCCGGTGTGCTATGAACGAAATGGTGAACAAGTGTTATTCGTGCGACTTTCACCGGCAGGACTGTACCTTCACACTGGCGGTGGCCAGTCGCCCCGGCACGGCCGAGTTGCAGGCGAAGAAGCGGAAACTGGACGAGACCGAATCCGAGGAGCTGGGATCGCCTAAGAGGTATGATTTCACCGGGCACGGCCGATCTCGGACTTGGACTCGAGATATAGTAGGACTTTCAGCTAATCAACGTCCCCGCCGCCAGGTTATCTACCCTTCCCCCGGTGCTGGCCAAATCCGACCCTGTCCGCCCACTCTTGAATCACACCCTCCCTCACCACCAACCTGATCATCAATTGCCCACTTCCTCCTCCTCGTTCTGGCAACATTCCATCCAACATATCGGCCTCACCACCGACTTAGAGCCCGCCCTCCTGGACTTCTTGCCCTTGGATCAAAACCAAGAAGGGTTCGTGGCTACCTCCCGTGTGCGGAAGTTTAGTGACGACGGCACCTTCATGCGGGTGGTCAGCACTCGATCGCCCGCGGACTCACCGCACACTGTTTCCTTGGACGCTATTGAGAGCCTGGTCGCTCCCTATGGCTCCACATTAGTGGAGAAGTTTTTCGAACATGTCCATCCCACCTTCCCCGTTCTCCTTGAAGACGGTTTCCGACAGTCCTATCGGGCCCGGAGTGGCCTGTCACCACTGCTTCTCTCTGCTGTCTATGTCCTCGCTTTGAAGTTTGTCGATGTTGGTCCCGCGTCTCAGACCATCCGGCGTCCCGATGCCGGCCGCTTGGAGAGCACGGCCCTTCGGCTTTTGGTGGAGTCGCTCCCCTATGCCTCCATCTCTACCATCCAGGCGGGACTGCTTCTTATGCAGAGGTCAAACCTAGCCACAGCCGCGTTGACTGCGCAGTTGGTCACGGCCGGCTTTGAGCTTGGCTTGCACCAGAACTGCTCTAATTGGCGAATGGACACATGGGAGAAAGGGCTCCGGAAACGCTTGGCATGGGCCCTATACATGCAGGATAAGTGGTCCGCGCTTGTGCATGGACGGCCGTCTCACATCTTCGCCTCCAATTGGATGGTTCAGGATCTGGTGGAGCAGGATTTCACCGACGCTTTCGCTGCCTCAGCACAACACGACGATGCGCCCGTCGGCCACGGCCCGCTATCCTTCTGTCACATGGTGGCTCTGACCACCATTCTCTCCGATATCTTGGATCGTTTCTATACTTTACAGGCGATTGAGGAATTCAAGGCGGCAGGAAACAATCGGACTCGGATGATTCTCGAACGTGCCAAGCCGGCCCAGATTCGGTTAAAAGAATGGTTTGGCCGCCTTCCGTCGGAGTTGAAGATGGACTCGGGCGGCGATCTGTTCGAGGTCGTCACTGAGGACAACGCTCGCAACGGTGCCTTGCACCTAGCCTACTTCGCAACGGAGATCACCCTACACCGCTGCATTGTGCGGTCGCTGGCGCCGGAGAACGCCGACGCCTACTTGTCCCACATCTGTCGGTCCGCCGCCAAGACGCGATTGATCTCCGCAATGGACTTTGTCAACCGACTCCGGCCTTCCCACTTGCGGTCCTTCTGGCCGGCTACGGCACGGACCAATTTTGCTCTGATCGGCTCCTTCGGGGTCCTCCTTCGCATCTCCGCCCCAACCAAGGAAGAAGCCGAATTCTATCGGCTGCGACTCTGCGAATACCGCTGGACGCTGAGCGTCAGCAAGAAGGATGCTGAGTTTTTGGAGTTTGCCTTGGAGAGTCTGGACAACGCGAACAATTTGGATCATTACGTTCCTGAAAAACCTGGCATCGATGAACTGATGACCAGCGCTGCCAAACCCACGACGATCAATCCCCCGCGCATGGGCGCCATGGAGGACTCGATCTTGGAGGCTCCGGACAGTGGCCTGGGTGGCACCTCCTCAGTCATCTCGGGATTGGCATCTCCAGCAACCTCTATCAGTGATGAGAGCCTGCAAGACTCTTCTATCCCCCCTCTCTAGCCATCTATCCCCCTTTTCTTCTCCCACCTTTCTCTTTGTGATGTTCCCCCCCTAAAAGGAGATTCGCGATACCCCGGGCTTTACTAGCAGTGTTTTCTGTGTCTGCTTTCCCCAACCCTTATGTGATGCCCTGATGAATTTGCATGTCTCTTTTGGTTCTGGCGTTTTGTCTTCTTGCTAGGAGGGGTGTCTCGTTTCTATGATACCTCTTGCTTTTTCCACTTTGTGTTTTGATGACGGCTATGCTGCTGGTTTACGAACTAATTCCCTAGATGGACGGGTGGCTGACTTTTCAGCATCTCACTCGCATTATACTTGTACATATGGTTTCTTTATTTTCCCCCTACATGAAGGATATGGGATGAACATAGACTGGATGGCAATCGGATAGAAAGTGTGAATTGATCAAACACATGATTCAAAGTTGATACATTGTACAAAACGCTTTTTAAGAAATGGATCATGGGGAGGCTATCATAGTCATCATCCTCCCGCCGGTCACCGACTGGCTGGCTCGACGTCTTGGTGATTTCCTCTTCGGTGACCCGTGGATTAGGCCTGGAGAAATGCCTTCCTTTCCCGTCTCTGCAAAGCATCCGCATGTATTCCTTTCTCTCCATCACATGATCACCAGCCGATTCATAGCACCCGCTCGCCATAGAGGCGTACCCGGATGATGTGGTCTGTGCGATTTAGAGCCACGCCAGGGGTCAAGTTCGCCTTTGTTTATCGAAATACAATTCCCTCAAGAGGAACTCGAACAGCCAGCCATGATACCATTCATATTCTGCCATGAAAACCTACTTTGCAAGATTTACCCTTGCTCTTACACCCCTCCCTCCCCCCTTCTGCCTCTTGCATGCGAGGGCCGGCGTCCGATGAGCCGCCGGTTCGAGAGTCATAGTCACGGCTCAGTTGAAATACTACCGTGTTTGGGATGAATGAACTGGGGCTGCCGGACGGGAAGACCAAAGAGGTGTCTGTCTTAAGTGGTTTGCAATATACCTGATTTGGGACATTTCTCTTGCCCCGAAATGCGAGCTGGGTTGACTGTGGGGGCGAATCCCGACGGATTGGGACTCGATGATGCCTCGTGGAAACCTTAGGCAGGAGTTGGGGCTTGCCCCTGGGCTACGTTCTATCAGGGATCGAGGTATGGTTGGGTTTGTTTGTTTGCAGCTGGTGTACCGAGGGTGAGATTCTGGTTTAGGAGATTCATTACGTCTCGTTGCAGCTACTGGGACTGGGCGCTGTGAGTAAGTATGCGGGCTTCAGATCTAGAGCCCTGGACTGTGGAGCTAGCTACGCAGCTTGCGACAATGTCTATAATCAGGTCATAGATACAGGGTACTTGTAGATAGTAACTCAAGGTCTAAAGACACGCATCCCCGCCTCCCGCAGCTCCCCAAGAGCATCTTGATCAGTACTCCAGGTTCCGGTTCCGGTTCCGGTTCAGGTTCCAAGAAAGAACGAAAAATCACTGGCCCCGTTCCCAAATGCAAAGTCCTCGAGGATGGTGGGGTCCACCAGATTCGCCAGGATCTCGGCGCGGGTATCGTTGGGCTGCGAGTCGGGATTGAACAGCGAAAAAAAGAAATCGTTGTCGACGCCGGGTGCTGTGCTGCTCGTGGGGTTTGTGGCAGCTTGCTGTTGCTGGGTGTGCGGATTGCTTAGGCCGAATGGTGCAGGTGAGGAAGCAGACGGGTTCGCTGGGCCGGTTATTGGCAGTGGCGGTGGTGGTGGCACGGTTGAAGTGGACAAGGTGTAGTGGGGGGTGCGACGTCGAGCTACGCAGGCTCGTGCGACTTCGAGAACCTCGCGGATCATCTCGGCGCAACGGCGGGCGACGACGATATTGTTCATCGATTCGAAGATGTCGAGACTCTTCTCTACGTCGAGTAGGAGGTCTTCGTCACGGATGCTGGGGTATCCCGAGAGGATGAGGTGGAGGAGAATCATGGCACCGTAGAGGGCGTAGGAGGTGTTGTACCACCTTTTTATAGGAGGGGTTGGTCAGTGGATAGAGGATGTGGCATGATGGCACGGCACCAGGGGAACTGACCAGGTACGAATGTAGATCCTGTGTATGAATGATTCGTACTGCATGTTGATGCTGGTTCTCGCGGCATCGAGACAGGCGTGCAGGTGCTGGAGGATATTTGGCGCTTCGGTCTTGGAGGCTGATGCGGCGAGGAAAGGCTTGTGGATCAGGATTCGGGTATTGTAATATCCTGGGCACATCAGCTTCTAAGAAGGTAGGATGAAGTCTGGTTAGGATTGTCTGGCGTACTTAGTCTTAGCACGAGTTTCTGTTTGAAGGCCCACTCTGTATCATTGAGCGAGGCGGCGTCGATATCTAAGAATTCAGGGAGAGTAGACTTCCATGCCAGCAGTTTGTTGTCTAGATCTATGGCAATATGCGACATCTCGCCCATTGAGCGCTTGGGAGAGTGGTAGAGAAGGTGTGATGCCTCGGACATGATTTGTGCTAGGGCCACCATTGCTGGAATCATTGCCACATGATTGTCTTCGGCATCGGCATCAAGTAGGTTGCCGGGAGTCACCTATGTGAGCACGGTCAATACATTTCTTCAATGGGTTGTCACTAGTACTTCACCTTTAAAATAGGTAAGGGAACTTGGTAGTACTGCAGGTCTTTCATGCTGTCTAAGCGACCAGAAGAGCAACACATCTCACTGCTCATTCTTAGTAATCCTGAGATCTTGAGAGTGGTATTCTGACCTACATCTCATGCGAATAAATACACCTAATCTTTGTCAATCAAGCACTATGAGAACGCGATGTTTTACCTACCACCAAGTCCGAATTCCTTCTTTGCGAACACCTGGGGACAAGGACGTCATCCCTGATGCCAGTCCGATGGCTACCGCGGTTCGGACCGCCATTCCACTATACATGAAACAACTATGCGGTCGAAGAGCGTTCTGACAGAACACACTCTGAAGACATGCGTCAGCACATGGTCAGATCCATCAGAGTGAGAAAAGCTTACCAGGAGTAGAAGCGCCTGCACTCCCTCCAAACTGCAGCTCTCGAATAGATCTCCCAGCGCCCGTTTGGCTCGGCCAAAATAGAAATCAGCAAAGTCTAACACAGATGGTCTGCTTGTGGTCCCGGCTCTCCTTGGAATGGGGCTATAGTTGCAATAATGGTCTAGCAGGGCCGTCTCATGTGGACTGGCGTTGATCGCACCCAACGCGACCACAGCGAAGTATAACCCAGCGAACTTCGAGGATCCACGATACAAGCTAGTTCTTCTGCTTATCACAAAGGCCTCTTTCTCGCAACATTGCATGAATGTGCCTTTGCACAGCATAGGGTGTATATAATGCTTGTTGCAAAAGTAACTTCCAATGAACATTTTCTCGATTTCAATCTGGGCCTCTTCTGATAGGCTCTCGATGATTGGTATGACATCATGTTCGTGGCTTATATCTGAAATTTCCACTTAGGTACTGGGGACTTCAAGACTCATGTGTTGGCTTGTACTCACCTGTATATCCTTTAGTAGCTGTGTTCTGCGAGCTCACCACATTCTTCGCGGTTCCACCGCTCTCAATTACACTTTGCCCATCACTTTGTAGGGGAGATTGACTCGGATATTTTGGATTATAAAGCAAATTCACGATAGAAAGCTGCGTTGTATTGGTTGTAGGACGCGCACCCTCCGACTGCGTGTCTGCCGTCGGGCTGGGAGTCAACTGGTTCAATCCATCTTTGCTGGTTTGCACCGTGTCGGGAGCCGCGGTATGGCCCTCAATCAGAGCATGAGTATGCTCATTATCAGGGACGGTCGACCCTCTAATGTCTGCCTGGGTACGGGCTCGTGCATACAAGTTGCCGAGGAAGGCCAAGTTAGAGGAATTGCCGTAGAACTCTGTGCCATTTGTGTGAATGTTGACACCGCTCAACCCGTCTCTGGAGGCTGAGTCGCAGACTACCTCAGGCGTGGCGGCTGCAAACCATTCTTGAGCATACAATCCAAGGAAGATGAATGACTAGAGCATAGTCTACTTACCGGGCATAGTGTCATCATCGCGCTTGGGAGTGAAATGGGCGGGCGAACTGGCATTAGCATTGCCATCACTTCGAGGGACGCGGGGTATCCCTCTGCTGGAATGGTCTGGAGAATCGACGTGCTGGAAGCTGTCATAACGACTCTGATCGACATCTGGCCATGGTGATGGTCTGGTTTTCTGTCTTGATCTAAGGTCAGAACCCGAAGATAGCAAGAAAGAACAAGGATTATCGAGGTACCGCTGGGCCTCGCGAATCTGCGCTTGGCGTTTGACTGCAGACGAGTTCTCGTTGGGACCTGCAGCTCTATACAAACAGTCGAGCGAATGATCTGAGAGTCAACTGATTAACTGTGTCGCTCACATACAAAGGGGGTTGGTTCTGCAGTGTCTCATACAAGCACAATAAGAACATGGCTGGGCTTGATCGCACTACAGTCAACGAGTGTCAGTGGGAGACGTGACGAACGGACGAGCAAACAGTAGTTTCCTACTTTGGTTTTGCGGACTCGACAAGTCTCGCAGGCACGGGAAGCGCGCGGCGGGCGTCGGCGAGAAGCGCGCAATTTGGCCGTCACCGGCGAGGCAGTTTCCCCTCCGCCTTCCATCCCTGACCAGTTCAGTTCCAGTTCCAGTCAATGTATGCCTCTCTTGGCTGCTGTTGTTGATCTCTCGGGGTTTCTGTTGACGATGCTAGTTATTGGATTCTTCAGCTGACTCGACATGTGCTCCACACTGGAGATGCGCTAGATAAGATTGGCTCCCGACATTCCAATCCACCGGCCACAGATTGCCAATTTCCCGATAATGCCGACTTACAGCGAGCACGTCCGACGAAGATTGAGAATCCGGGGTTTACGCGGGGTCTGGGGTAGACTTCTTTGGTGCTTCTCACAACTCGCAGAGGCTTCGGAAATTGTACCCCATGCCATGGCTATGATTACTTACTGAGTACTCGATGGCTGGCAGGCTACGAAAAATGAGTTCCGCATTGTTCCTTAACCCACCCAGTTTGCTGCCATGGTTTGAGCTTCGTCGCTAGTCATCGACAAATCGTCCGTTACAATTGGTTGGCGATAGAAGTCACTCTTAACAAGCATGATGACATATGCGAGGATTTGCAGATATGTGATTCCATGCTCTAGATCTGCATCGTGATCCGCAATTATGCAGTCGAAAGAAGTTCGAACTGAAGAATCATGATGCCTATTGTTCGGACGAATAAGCCATTCGTACTATACGTCATGGTATGCTCCGCCTCGACCACCCGACATTGACAGCGGAAGGGAACTTCTGCTCGTGCTGCAGAATGACGACGTCAAACAAACCCAGAACTATTGACGGTTGATGCAGTACCTCGGCCATGCCGTTACCCATCACCATCGGTTTTTCGGGTGTATACAATTGTCGCTAGTTGCTTGAGCTTCGGTAATGGAAAGGAATGTAGAGTACGGAGTAAATCTACGGAATACCGGCATCCGGAACTCGCGTGCAATCCCTGATCTCTACGCCGAGGTCTTTTGCATCACCAAGCTCCAGCATCGTCGATCATGCTTTGAACTCCCTGCGCAGACCGATGCCGGTCGCTCAATGCTAAATTGGTTGCTGGAAGTGTTGCTCCTCCGCCACAGCTTCCTCCGTCGGAACCACCTCCGCATTATCCTTCCGCTCCGACGGATCTCGTTGAGCGGCATACACCCAAGATACAGTTACCGGTGCAAACACCTGGAGTGACGTTCCAAGTCTCAAGTGGTTTATGCCCCGCCCCGCATTAGGCTGATGCGGGGAGATTGTGTGTTTTGAGCCTTTCGAGATCAAAATGTTGTTAACCGAAGCGAGTTGCGAGGCAGACGAAGTATAAGAGAAAGATGTCCACGCCTCGGCGACTGTCCAGTTCGAGAACCATCACCAATCATTTCTGTACCTACCGCATTTGAGTCTCACAATGTCTAGGCAAGATCTGAACGGAGCTCCGCCGGTCGAGGGACTAAGCGACCGAACTCGGGCCAAATGGGCGGCCGCGTCAACGCCAGAGGAGATCGCGGCTAATCTACCTCCAATGCTCGACCTGACAATAGAGAATATCACAGAAAATGTGATGAAGATCAATTCCATGTGCGACAACCCGCGACTCCGATATCTCATTTTGAAGTTGATTCAAGCGGCCCATGATTACGTACGAGACGTTGGACTGCAATTTGATGAATGGGAGCAAGCATGGCAGTTTTTGACCAAAGTGGGTGACAGTCCTCTGCCGAGTCATATTATAGCCTAACAGCGCCTTCTGTAGGTCGGACAAATCTCGACCGATGTCCGTCACGAGTTCGTGCTTCTCTCCGATATTTTGGGGATCTCCGCGCTAGTTGACGCCCTCTCCTATCCTGCTGTGCCCGGAGCTACCGAGTCTTCTGTGCTGGGTCCATTCCATGACGAAGAAGCGCATTCATTCCAATACGGAGAATCGATTTTCACGGAGGGTACCCCCGGCGAGCCCACGATCGTACGTGGTTGGATCAAAGATACAGATGGCAATAATGTACCGAAGGCATTAATCGACGTCTGGGAGACGGACGGCAACGGAGTGTACGACTTGGAGTATGACGGAAACGCCGATCCCAACTGCCGGGGGAAAATCCTCTCGGACGAAAAGGGTCACTTCCTTTTTCTTTGTGTCAAGCCCGTGGCCTATCCGATTTCCAACGACGGCCCCGTTGGCGAGCTCTTGCGCAAGCTCAAGCGGCATTGGTTCCGCCCCGCTCACATGGTTAGACCATTCAACCTCGGAGTCTGTGCATAGATGCTAACATCAAATAGCATTTTATGATCGAACACCCCGCGTACACCAAGCTGATCACTGCCTTGTACTCTCGAGACAGCAACTTTGTGGAGAGTGACACCGTGTTCGGGGTGAAGAAAAGTTTGATTGTGGACTACAACTGGTGTGAGGACCTCAAATTGGCTCAGGAACACAACGTGACACCTATCACCAAGACAATTGACGGCAAGGAGTCGACAGGGTTCTGGCTTCTGGAACAGGACTTTATTTTGGTCAAGAAGAGCCCGCCTCCGCCTCGCAAGACGGAGGATTGAACCACGAACCACTAGGTATAAACTACGCCCGGTTAATGTACGTATATATGGTACAGCAGTGGCAGCGCAATGACACAAGACCCGCTCAATGTAACTGCTCATCCATGAGCACATACAAATACCAATACCGAGCATCAGAGTAGCTCTGTCTCCAGCAAACTGTAGATGGTGTGGTTGTCTTAAGGTGACCCCATTGGTTCTTTCTCGGTGTATGCAGCCCATTTCTTCGCGAAGGCTGCCCCCATGTACTGAGATTCAATGCTTTCACAATTTTGGTCCAATGCGTTGTCAACAGAGTCATCACATACACTTCTAATCCTCACTTGTCATAGTACTTTTTACAAAAATGCTGCAAGGGCCAGACGATCTTGTTTGGTCGCATGACTTTAACCTGTTGACTACACAGAGATTGTCTATCATACAACCGAGGTGGTTGCGTCTCTCCGCCTTCTCACTCTCAGCTGGGAAATACCGACTTCATCCCCTCCATCACTTTCAGGGCTCATACTCGATACAATGCAATCAATACCTTTGAACCCCCTTGAATAAGCCGACGGAAGATCTCTAGCTCCTGCACTCCGATTGGCTTGAGTACCTATCATTTTTCCGGTTCTGTTTTCGTCCCAGAGCTGTCCACTGTCCCTCCACGGCACCCGGCTAAGTCCGGAGAAGACTCCGAAGTCTCCATCCGATGGATTAGTCTGTCAGTCACTCGACCGGGCTGGCAGTCGGATTCCGACGGATGAAGTATCCGAGACATGCTTTTCAGGCACAAGACGGTTATACACGGCAATGTATGAGAGCATCGGGGTGATGACTTGCAACAGTGCATGGTCATGCGGATGAAGTGTACGTGATGGACTTGATCGGTCTGGTATGAACGCCATGTTGAATTCCACGAGGCATGGGTATATTAAATGTGAGCTGCATGGAGTAAGCCGACTTGTCCACCTGGCAGCTTGCTCATCCTGACTGATCGGTTCTTATCTTATCTAACATAGTATAGAAGCTCGACCAACCAGCGCTTGCCTGTGTTTATCATTCATGTACCGACGACGATTATTTACTCAGCCTTTGCCCCATTATCTACAGGCTTCCTTTACACTTGCTTCCTCTCTAAGAATCAGCGCGATCCGACTCACCTCAACCATGGCAGCATCAGCTCAAGAATGGAGCCAGGATTCCCTCCGGGCCAGCTTCTGCCACGCGCTCTCTGAGATGTACAAAACAGAGGTTCCTCTCTACGGCGATCTAGTCGATCTCGTTTACCAAGCCGATACAGAAACTGTCACCGCACAGGCCAAGCGCTCAAGTAATGATCTCACCGACGCGGACGAGATCCTCCCCGCACGCCACCGTGTCGAACGCCATGGCGCCATCCGACTGGGCACTGCTCAAGAACTCACCACCATCCGCCGCCTGTTTGCCATCATGGACATGCATCCAGTCGGCTACTACGACCTCACGCTCGCCGGCTTCCCCATGCACGCCACGGCCTTCCGACCTACCAGCCCAGAAGCCCTATCCAGACACCCTTTCCGCGTCTTCACCACCGTCCTCCGCATGGATCTTCTCACCCCACGCACACGTCTCCTCGCCGAACGCGCCCTCTCCCAGCGATCCATCTTCACAGACCGACTTCAGACCCTCATGGAGCTCGCAGAGAGCCGACAACAGCCGAACCCATTCACCCCTGAAGCTGGTCAAGAGCTCATAGCCGAAGCCCTCAAGACCTTCCGTTGGCACTCCCACGCCACCGTCACACTGGACGAGTACCAGACCCTCAAAGCCGAACATCCCCTCATTGCGGATATTGTCTCCTTTCCCAGTTGCCACATTAACCACCTAACGCCGCGGACGCTCGATATTGATGCCGTGCAGTCCAGAATGTGGGGGGCGGGTATGCCGGCCAAGGAGCGCATCGAGGGGCCCCCAAGACGAAAATGTCCAATCCTGCTACGACAGACGAGCTTCAAGGCCCGCGAGGAGACAGTCTTCTTCCGGACCGGACATGGAGATTATGTGAAGGGCTCGCATACCGCGCGATTTGGGGAAGTCGAGCAGCGGGGATTTGCGCTCACGCGCAAAGGGAGAAAACTGTATGATGATATCCTGGCGGCAGTGAATACTGAGGTTGCGGCCAAGGAAATCGGAGCCGGAGATGCGCAATACGAAAGCATTCTTGAAAGACATTTTCAAGGGTTTCCGGACGAGTTGGGTGAATTGTGGGCGCAGAAGTTGGCGTTTTTCTACTATCATGTCACTGCGAAGGGGAGTGAGGGCTTGAGCGGGTTGAGGTTGGGAACCGCGAGCGTATCCCAGCTTCTGCGAGAAGGAGTACTGGAGTATGAGCCCATCACGTATGAGGACTTCCTGCCGCTCTCTGCGGGGGGCATCTTCAACTCCAACCTGGGGAACACGACCCAGTCAAAACGGTTGATTATGGAGGCCGAGCCGGATCTGGATGGGTTTCACCGGATGCTGGGAGTCCCAACGACGGATGAATTCAGCTTGTATGCGCGGATGCAAAGTGATAGTCTGGATCAGTGTCGGGTGCAACTGGGACTAGAAGAGATTACGGAGTGAGATGTGGTTTGTGAAGGTACAGTACAATACAGTATAGTACATACATTTTGATAGTCTAGTAATCATTTATACTTGTGTCATTAGCCAAGGCGTATAGACCTTGCCTCTTTCCCTTTGGAGTAAACATGTCGTGTTACTGCATTCCCCTCCCCTCTTGCCAACAAATACTCTTCCACCGCCCCTGGCTCGGTGCTTCTCCTTCTTCATACCCTCTTCTCTTGCATATCATTCACTGATCGCATCGTTATCCGACACCCATTTTCCCGAATGTCCTCCAAGCATCGTTATCACTAAGATCGCTCTATCATTAGTCGTCTGAACAACTACCGTTGGATCCGAACAATTCCGCCATGCATACCTCCTCCTGGCTTCTATTCGGTCTCGCAGCTGCAGTCTTCGCCCAGGAAGAACAGGACCTCAACCTTTTCCACTATGGACGACGAGGCCCTCTCCTAGGAACGTCCTTCGGCACGCCCGGTGCAAACGCAACCTTTGACTATATCGTCATTGGAGGTGGAACTGCTGGCTTGACCATCGCGAGTCGTCTTGCTCAGAGTGAACGATTCAGCGTTGCGGTCGTCGAAGCGGGTGGATTCGCCGAGATTGACAATGGCAACTGGTCCGTCGTCCCTGCATACGCCCGAGGGCTCTTTTGCGGGGACGCCCCCGAGGCGTATCATCCATTGAACGACTGGCGCTTCAAGACGCAGCCACAGCAGGTCCTGGGTGGCCGTGTCTTCCACTGTGCGCACGGCAAGCTTCTAGGAGGCAGTTCCGCTCAGAATAGTATGAACTATAACCGCCCCACCAAGGGCAGCATGCAAAAGTGGGCAGAAGAAGTGGATGACGAGAGCTATACCTTCGAGAACATGCTGCCGTGGTACAAGAAGTCTGTGCGCTTTACTCCGCCGGACCCGACCATCTGGAGTGATTATGACATTCTGCATAATGAGGACGCCTTTAATGACGGCGGTCCTCTTGAAGTCTCGTCGGGTAATTGGATCGACCCGTTGGCTAACACTGTACGCAAAGTTCTGACGGATGGGCTTGGGTTCAAAGAGACGGAGTTCAACAGTGGCGGCCTGCTAGGCTCTGGGTTCATGAGCCGAACTATCAACCCAAAGAATGCCCATCGTTCCTCATCCGAGTCCAGCTTTCTGCAAGAGGCACTCGATAGTGGGAACAGGCTGACAATCTACAAGAACACGCTCGCCCAGAAGATACTGTTCAACGGCGGAGACAAGACCGCTTCCGAGGTCCTCGTCTCAACTGCCGGCACGTTTGGTACCTCGAACCTCGATTTTTACCTCAGGGCTCGCGAAGAGATCATAGTATCAGCGGGACCCATACAGTCTCCGCAACTGCTCATGGTCTCTGGTGTTGGTGAATGCGAACAACTTTCTAGATATGGTATCCCCTGTGTCAGCCACCTCCCAGGCGTCGGTAAGAACATGCAAGATCACCCTGTCGTGATTACAATGTGCCGTGTGAACGAGCAGATGGTGCCTTTTTTGGTGACAGAAGAGGCATCAGATCAACTGCATGTCCGACAATATATTGAGAACGCCCGAGGGCCGTTGACAATCGTAGGGCCCGGGTACTTTGGCTTCGAGAAGCTGCCGCAGCAATATCGTTCCCAGCTAACTGAGGAGAATCTCAAGAGTCTTGCAGACTTTCCCAAGGACTGGCCCGAGCTTGAATGGGCACTTAGTGGCGTCAGCCGAGACACCGATGCTTCTGAGCGAAACTATACCATTGCCATGGGATCAATAGTTCAGGCTACGTTCTCTCGCGGAATGGTCTCGTTAGCCAGTCCAGACATGTCCACGCCGCCTATCATTGATCCACAGTGGCTTGCTGACCCCAGAGACATGGATACTTCCATTCAAGCGTTCAGGCGCAGTCGTGAGATTTGGACCCATCTTGCTGAGGTCGGAGTTATCGACCTGGAAACGTGCGTGCCAGGGTCCGAAGTAGAGACGGATTATCAGGTACGCGAGTTCCTAAGACAAGATGCGTCGGCGATCAACCATGCCTCATGCACGTGCAAGATGGGACAAAAGGACGATAGGATGGCAGTCATCGACAATGTGGCCCGAGTATTTGGAGTGCAACGTCTGCGGGTGGTTGATATCAGCAGCTTTCCCTTCCTACCACCGGGACATCCGCAGGCAACTGTCTACGCCCTGGCTGAGAAGATTGCAAATGAGATACTGCAAGCAAGCATTAATTTCAGCTCGTAGCTGTGATGCGGTGGACAGCCCTCGTGTGCCGACTTTGGGGCTTTGTATATAAACCATTCTTAAAAAATCTTCTGGACATTCCTAAGCACCGGTCTCTAAGCGAAGCCCATCTGTCGACCATGATGCGGAGGGTAACGTAGTTAATGCTTGACTCAAAGCTCATCACTCCGGGCTTCGAGGAGACATTATTCCGTAGCATTGCTTTCATTGGTTCGGTATTGTCGACACCAGAAGAATATCCGCGTTGTCTGCTGAGTGAGAGTCTCAAATCTACCCTGTCCTCAGACATAAAGAAGAAAAGCACGTTGAACATTCGAAAAACCCAATTATGAGATACAATACAAGTGCACCACTTTGTGCATGGAAACAGACACCCACTTTCTATCTGTACATAAATCCTTTGCAATTGCAGGTTCCAACCATCCTAACCATCCACCCCTTGCCCGGTCTTCGCCTTTCTCACTCTGGCAGTCTCCCTTCCCATCCAACAACAGCCCCATGTGAACATTCACTGCGTCCAACCAAGAAAAGAAAATCCCGAATCCGCAAGTAACAATTTTCGAGTACCCCCATCACGACGTGGGAAATCCTCTTAAACAACAACCGCCCCCTCCCGCAACAACTCCTCCGCGGTCTTAATCTTGACATCCATAACCCGCAGCAGGGTATACTTGTGCTTGCTCCGAATCATCTGCACGTGCCGCCGGCGGCGCTTCGTCTTCTCCTTGATGCGGAGGGGCTCGGAGTCAACGCCCACGACGCGCACGCGGCACTCATACAGCCGCTCATCGACGTAGGGCGCGCCCTTCAGCGAGAAATCCCGCGACCCCAGCACGGACGCCCGGTTGAAGCGCAGGATGTCCCCCGGCTTCACCTTGGGCATCAGGAAGGGCAGGCGGATCGAGTCGCCCTGCGTCAGCAGGTAGGGCCGGTCGTGCAGGTGCGAGATGATGTAGTGCGGCTGCTGGGTGGTGAGTTGCGGGAGCTGGGAGAGGAGCGTCGGCGTGAGTTGCAGCGGCGCGGTGAAGGTTGGGGCCACGGGTTTTTTGAAGTCGATTGTAGAGGAGGGGGTTTCTTGGGGGGTGGGCGTGGAGGTCTGGGCTCGTGGGGTCGCGGAGAGGGGGGATTCGGGTTGTGTTGTTGTTGTTGTTGGTGGTGCTGGTGCTGGTGATGCGGCGCTGCTGTGAAGACAGGCCCGGGCGACGGAGAAGCGTGCGGCGACGGCGGCGGCAGCGCATGGTTGCTCCATTACCGGGAGGGCGAAGGCCCTGGCGAGGGCAGTGCGGGAGAACATTTTGGATGGGTATCTGGCAAGTGTATGCTTTGACTCGATTGAGGCGGGCAAGTGAGTCCCTGCTTGCTGGGTCAATGGGGACAACCGATCCAACAAACCAGAGGCGCTTTCTTTTCCACAGGAGAGAGAAATTCCGGAGGGTTGGACGATAAAGTTGGGCCACGTGACTTATTATCGGTCGGCCGCGCACCCGCCCGCCAAGCCCCTCTCCGAACTTTTTTGGATCAAATCAATCAATCCTTCCCTTTTTGCTTGCTGCTTGATTGCTTGCTATCAGACCTCCCCCTCTTTGTTGATTTTGTCGTTGGCCTTTGCCGCTATCTCAACATGGTATGTTGCTGATTCGAATTCTGTCTTGTTGAGGGATATCTGCTAACGATTTATTCTTCCACAATGAACAGCCTCAGAACGAGTTCGTCGCACCTTTTCTCGAGCCACCCGGCGAAAAAAATTGACCATGGTGAAAACAGGTATATCGAACGCTGGACGAAACAGCACGGTAAGCGTCTCGATCACGATGAGCGCGCCCGCAAGAAGCAGGCCCGTGAGGTCCACCAGCAGTCCAAGGATGCCCAGAACCTGCGCGGTCTGAGGGCCAAGCTGTACCAGCAGCAGCGCCACAAGGAGAAGATCCAGATGCGCAAGCGCATCAAGGCCCAGGAGGAGAAGAACGTCAAGTCCTCCGCCCCCGAGGAGCCCTCCAAGACGCCCCTGCCCCAGTACCTGCTCGACCGCTCGCAGGCCACCAACGCCAAGGCCCTGTCCAGCGCCATCAAGGACAAGCGCAACGAGAAGGCCGCCAAGTTCGCCGTCCCCTTGCCCAAGGTCAAGGGTATCAGCGAGGAGGAGATGTTCAAGGTCGTCAATACCGGCAAGAAGACGCACAAGAAGTCCTGGAAGCGCATGATCACCAAGCCCACCTTCGTCGGCAATGACTTCACCCGTCGGCCCGTCAAGTACGAGCGCTTCATCCGCCCCATGGGTCTGCGTTACAAGAAGGCCAATGTTACGCAGTACGTTTGTCCTTCCCTTCCTATCCTATCGCTTGTGTGCCGTTTCGATTCTCGAACGCCACTCAGAACCGATCGGGGATTTGCCAAGCACACGTTCCGCTGAATACTAACGCTATTATCCTCAATCTTCTCAGCCCCGAGCTCGGTGTCACCGTCCAACTCCCCATTCTGTCCGTCAAGAAGAACCCCCAGAACCCCCTCTACACCCAGCTGGGTGTCTTGACCAAGGGTACCGTGCTCGAAGTCAACGTCTCCGAGCTGGGCCTCGTCACCACCTCCGGAAAGGCAAGCTACCACATCCCTCCTTTTCTGTGCATGCGGGGACCAAAACTAACAGCAAGCAGGTTGTTTGGGGTAAATACGCCCAGGTCACCAACAACCCCGATCTTGACGGTACCGTCAAGTAAGTTCACGATGCCCTGCCTTCTTGGAGCTCTCACATCCTAACCATCCCTCACAGCGCCGTCCTCCTCAACTAAATTAAAACCCCGTTCTCACCCTCCCATGTCAACGATCATGACAACAACGGCTTTTTCCCCGTCTTTCCTATAACCTGCGTCGGTTTGTGCCTTTTTTTTTGGTACCGTCTCGTTGCGTTTGTGCTTCAAGTGAAGTGGATTTTCTCATTGGGGTGTGTGTGGCGTTAGTGGCGCGCAAAGTGTGCTTGCTCGTTTCTTTTGATCGATCTTTTCTGAAAAGAGATTCCCGTTATTTGAATCGTACCTTAAAATACATAGTAGTTAGCTAGCTAGATACACAAACCAACCTATTCTCCGAACCGAATCGATACTTACCATGTACTCAAATCCATCTGAACATTGTCAGTCTGTCTGGAGACTTTGCTGCTAAAGGGAAATGCGGTTTACAAGTAGTACAGCACCTCGGTGACAGTTTATGATCGTCTGGATCATGTTCACAGGTATCGTCTACCTCGCCGCTATGGAGTGTCTGGATCAAGAGAATAATCAAGAAACCCATACACGCTGATCACACTCCCTCTCCTGCCAGTCCTTGCACCGGCTCTATGGAAACCAACACATTTCTCAATTTGGATCTAGAACATACAACACAATGCAATGCACCCATCGAATAGAGATTTCAAACAAGTGTCTTGAGCTCTCGTCACATATGAACGAAGGGGAACCATACTATTCCAGATTATTGAAGACGAAGAGAAAAATCTTTGTAAACCTAGTACGAACAAACTCCGAATACGCCATGCTCTCTTGCTGCTGGAGCTTTCCAATGTTAACCCCAACCAGATATAAGAAACGATCAAACAGGGCTAAAGCGCGACAGACACACACAATAATAAAATCACCCCTTGAAGCCGTCCCAGTGCTTTGATGCTATCCAAAATAAGCGTTGGGGGGCAAGGGTAAGAAGAAGGAAACGAGAATATAGGGTTGGTCCAAGAATGGGATAAGGGGAAACCAGAAGAGAAGGGAGATGGAGGCTAGAAAGAAGAAAAAGGTCGCAACCGTCATCCCAATCTGTAGGTGATGGTGGACTAGACAACGCCGGGTTCAATCAGGATATCAAGATAATGAGTAATATACCAAACAAGTGCGGAGGCTTTCAATCAGAGAACATAGGGAATTATGTGAGAGGTATGTATGCAGAGACACAGAGAGTATGACAAGGAACCACTGGGCACGATCAATCGGATGTGGGTTAGTCTAGGGACCCTCTTCTAGGGCTGATTTGATCTTGGCAAAGAAACCGGCCGGCCAGGCGGCAAGCTCCTCGTCCTTCGGGATGCCGCGGACACGGCAGTGGTTGACCACATTGACCAGAATCCGGTTGAGCATATCTTGCGTGACGGGGACTGCGGCCTCGAGCTGCGCGTCGGGGTATAGGAAGGGGTCGCGCTGGCTGAGGAGCTCTTCGACAGTGGGCCGGATGGTCTGGTCTCTTTGAAGGCATCGTTTCAAGGTACGAACCAGACCGGGGGGTACGGGGACGCCTCCGATCGCGAAGGCGGGGAAGTCGATCTTCACGTTGGGATTCGGGATGGCCAGGATACGTTCGTAGTATTTGGCGATCTTGGCGAACGGGGGCTGGCCGTAGACCATCTTGTACAGGATACATCCGAGACTCCAGACGTCGCTGGGTTTACCCAGCTTCATCATCTTCCCCACGCTTGCCGGCAAGCCGAGGGAGGCGTTGGAGTCAATCAGAGCCTCGGGGGACATGTAGTTCGGCGTTCCCACTTGCTGCTCGCGATGCACGTTGACGGTGTTGTCCTGGATTGCATTTGCAATACCAAAGTCGATGAGCTTCAGTCGGCCCTGAACAAGCAGGAAATTGGCAGGCTTCAGATCGGAGTGCACGACATTGTAGTCATGTACTGCTTGCACGCATTCGAGCATCTCCTTCCAGTAGTAACGGGTGAAATTGATATCGAATCGTGCATCCTCCGCGTTTAGTCGATAAGTAAGCACTTTTTCAAGGTCGGATTCACCGATTTCCATCAGTACACTCAAAGTGTGCTTATCCTGATTCAACTCCCAGTCAAAGAGACGCACGACGCGGTCCAGGTTCTCAAGCTTCTTGAGCAGATCGATCTCGCCTTTGTAACCGGCCAATGTCACGGGGTCGACGTCTTCGAGATTAACGCGCTTCAGGGCAAAGATCTTGTAATTCTCGGCCATCACACGATAGACACGAGAGCTTCCTCCACGGCCAACGCAATCAAGCCGTGTGAAAGGCTTGTGGTTGACTGAAACTTGATTGCGCTTCTTGCGAGACTGAGATGCTGTAGCTGCTCCACCGGTAGCTGTGGCAGTTTCCAGAACAGACATTTTGGGGGGAGGCGGAGCTGGTCGATGAGGGGTATTGTTGCTTCGCGTGGCTAGGATTTTCCGGTCTGCGGGCGTCTCCTTCTCTTTCTCCTTCTTTTCTTCTTCGTAGACCACAGGCTTGTCAAGCAGGTTGAAACCTTGCGGTTTGACCCGCTTGAAGGTCGGTGGTGGCTCATTCTCCTGGTCACGATTCGAAGGTAACGTTGGCGGGGGAGGTACTTTGAATACCGGCTGGTCCTTGGCGCTCGACGGTTTCGATGACATTTCCGACGAAGAGCCAGGGGTGGACTTGGAGTGGGAGCCATACGACTTCGGAGAAGACGATCTGGAAAATAAGCCGTCGCCAATGACATCCCGGTCGCGGTGTCGGTCACGGCGATCCTCGCTTCTAGTCGGCGGACTTGGGTCGGCCCACGAGACTTTGGGGGAGGCGGATTTCGCTGTATTCTTGTAGTGGTAGTGGTCGTTATCGTTATTTTCATCATAATCGGTCTCTCGAATCTCATTTTCTTCACTCTGCCGTCGTAATACCCCTCTCCGCGCAGGCCCATTGAGGAAAGTACCGGTCAGTCGGCCGACCCGTTTGACGCGCAATGAGCTGTGCATGCCCTTGTCTTCGATGTTTCGTGTGCGGAGCACGGATGCTGTACCCACCCGCGGAGCATAATCATCGTCGTAGCTTTTCTCCCCTGAGCGTGTCGCGCTCCCATGCTCCTGGTCGTCGATGTAGCTCCTTTCGGCCGATCGCCTCTGGGACGGCGACAGGGATGCAGGCGACCGGGTGTTGCTACGCGATGCATTGATATGGACACTCCGTGTGCGTGGTGCGGGCGTAATGAAATCATTCTGCGCGGGCTTTCGTTCGCTATATTCGGCGTTTTCGGTCTTGGTTAACGGCGAGCTTTCTCTCTGGCTGCTGAGCGAGGGAGCGATCCGAACCACCCGGGGCGCGGGGCTTCCATTCGACTGCTCAAGGGGCGAGGTGGTGCGCGAGCGCCTCTCTTGGCTTGATCCTGCCGAGCCCAGGTTTTTGTTGCGTAACCGCGGCGACAGGTCGAATCCGTCTTCGTCGAGTAAGGCCTTGACGGACGCGCTGAACTTGGGTTCGGGAACCTCCTCATCCGAGCTGTCGCCGGCGGCATACTGCCCAGCGGATACACTGTGACGGTAGGCGAGTGAGCTGCGCACTTCTGGTGAGGTCCGTCTGGATCCTGAGCGAGACGCGGCACGGGACATTGAACGGGAGGAAGGTTGGCGGTGCAGCCGGGTGTTGTACGCTGCTGCTGTTGAGGAGGAATGAGGAGAGGCCATCATGA